ACACATGCACAAATAATCATTTGGGTTGAAACCTGTCCTGCTAAACTTCAAATTGGGAAGTTTGAAAAATACCATAGGAACCACTTTTGAGCACTCTTGCATGTTTCTGGTGTTTTAAACCAGATCCAACACTGCTTTATCAAGTGCATCACTTTAATACCACTCGGGACATTTTTAAGATCCCTGTGCACTAAAAGGCATCACAGCCAAAATGTAGATCTTCAGATTCTAGTCTCAGCTTTCATTAACATTTGTACACATCCACACTTTTTATATTTGATTTCCCAGAATACCATTTTTGCACATGCTTTGAAATGACTCAGCCTCAACCATGTAAAATGCATTAGTATTGATCTCCTACATCTCCCTGAAATTCACAAGCAGGTGTCCTATTTCTCCCATCACAGGAGCTCACCTTTACAACAGACTTCACATAAAAAGCATGTTCTTGTATGGCACAACTCAACAGTAATGCAAGTTAACAAAAAATGTACTTAATTTCCATCTTCTAGTAGAAATTTCTCTAGCCCATTTTTCCCACTTCCCAGGAGCTTAGTAACGTAGGGTAGGGACCTACTCACTCTCTTCTGTTGAACCTGTTCTAATTTTGTACCGCAAATGTTCACCAGCAGAATATGTTCATATATGAGCCCACATGTACCATGGGAAAGCCAGTTCTGTGTATAGGTGGGGGGAGGGCTGGAAAGGGGCTCAGAGTTCCAGCTGCTGCTCCAGTGAAAAGTTTACGTGTCTTTGGCAGTTGCTAGGAAAGTACTATGATTCCTTGCTCCCCTCTTGAAAGGAAAGCCAAGCTGGCAGTGAAAAGTTGTGGCGGAAATCTGAAGCAGAAGGAAGCACATCTAACACACAGTACAGTGATGGCAAATCATCAGAAAGATGTAGGATTTAAGCTTGGATGCCTCTTACTAGAGTTTCCTCACTGGCTAAGCATGGTGACTTCCTTGCTCAGTGCAACAGTAACCTGAAGTCCACTTGGAGCTGTGTATCTTCCCTCATCATTGCACAGTCAAGAAATTTAAGTCAGAATTTTGCATTGCATCACTAAGGAGAGTCCTAAAAGTTGAGAGTGGCAAATGCCTAGGCAGTGTGGTGTCTCTATCTGCTAATGCTGCACTTTTATTTAAACAGGTGGCTTAGAAATAGTACGCCATAAATATTTTCAACCTTAAAATCTGGTTAGATGCTTGAATTCAAGTAAGTTGGTTTAACTGTGACATTTCCCATTCTGCTGAGCCATTGGCCTTACACAAACTTTCTTCCTTTTAAGTGTAATTCAGACTTCACAATTAGCATTATATTCACCAACAGCACATGCTATAGCTCACTAATACATTATTTGAACAGTAAGTAGACTGAAATGTTTCAAATAAAAGCCTTTCGGCAGAATCTACATAGATAAGGGTTCTTTTGAAATTGGATGCAAGTTATGAATGGTGCCCGAGTTTCTGATTTAATTATTTAAAATGGCACAGAGGTGCCTTATATTGTATGAAATACAATAGCAATATTAAAAACTGACTTGAAAACACAGTATTTCATATCAATTCAATGGTCAGCTATTGAAAAAAATATGGAAAAAACAAAGATGATTTTTCACTTTACAGCAAAGCTATAGCAAAATCATGCTAGCCAGTTAAATGGTAGAGAGAAGTTGGACTAAAATTCTGCTGATCTTGTGCTAAAACAAGACCTAGAAAATATGAAATGAGGTTAAAAAGCTGTGTAATTATAATTACACATTATAATTACATCATAATTACACTGTGGAACACATTATCAATAAGGGCTGTACACATCTAAGCGCTTTAACAGTATCCTGAAAAAGCTCAAGCATTTTTTTATGGCTAAAAGTAATGGTGAAAGCAAATTTGGATTGTTGTTTGGGGGTTTTTTGCAAAAGATAATAAAGCCAATTAGTCAAGATTTACACCAATCCCTAATGACCAGGAATAGAGAAAGAGATGTAGGGGGAAAATAATTTTCCAAGTGGGTTGCAGGCATTTTATTTCTCCACAGAGTACCAACCATTCTTCCCACTGCCCAGGACAAAACCCTCTTTTAACACTGCTGTCTGATATTACTTCAAGAAGCCCCACGAGAACAGCAGAAGTGTATGCTGACTTTTATCTCTACAGTCAGAATTTACATTATTTACTGTCCTAACAATCACACTCCTAACTTTTCAAAACGATCTTTTAGGGTGCAAAAAACAATGAAAATTACCAGGGAAAGGGATGATGATTCTATTTTATGATTTCTCAAAAGAAACCCCATAAAGCTGCACTAGAGGCGATTCAGGCTGGCTGCAACGACACACTGAATTTTAAATTTCAGACTGTATAATTAAAATTCTGTCTTGTGCAAATATTTCTACCTTTCTAACATGCACTCAGACTGCAACAGAGGTCTCCAGCAATGCTATCCTGGCCAATTAGTCCAAGCAACTGAACAGCAGAAAATCCTGGCTAAAACGTAACAAGAAAACATGCACAGACTGATAGATGTAACATTACCAGTATGCAAAAAATTAAAATGAAACAAATTAAGAACTCCAAACATTAAATTCAGATTGTTTATTGTAAACAGTATAACTCTAGCACTCTGTCATACTGGCTGTGTCACATGCACCCAATTTCGCATCAATTGCTTAAAATAGCACTTGCAAAAATTACAGTTATGTAATAATAACTTATGGTTTCTTACATAAACTAATTAACAAGCACTAAAATTTAATTACAGTGTATTCTAGGTAGTTTTTTATTGCTTGTAGACACTGCAGCTTTGGATCCATTAAAATGAATCCATTAGTATGCCTGAGTTTATAAAAATTTACTGCTATATCAAACTCAGAAACTGTAAAATGCTGGAGAACACTTAAAAGCAATTAAGAGTTGCCAGAAAACTACATGGGTTTCCATATCCAGTCAGAAAACTTTGAAATTGTACTCTTTTTTTTTTTTCCCCTCTGGAAAACATGATTTGTGAGGTTGTGTTAAATACACTGCCATTCCAATGTATTTATATAATTTGTTAAAATTAGAGTTGATAGTATTCCATGAATATATATATATTTATTTATTTATTTTTACACACGACAGAAGCCATTTCCTTTTATTCACCTTAAGAGTGGTATGTTTAAATACTAAATCCCAAAATATATATATTTTTATAATATGTTGTCAAAACTTTTAATATATATAATACAAATACTTTTACTAAAGGAAAACTATAAACAAAAGTGAAATTCAAGTGGGTAAAAATACCATTTTATATGAAGGATCCATGAAAAATGTGGCAGAGGCACCTTTACCATTTTTGCTTATACTCTAAGTTTTTTTTTCTTAGGTGACAAAAAAATGCTAGTGGCCTTCCTTGGCAACAGGTTACATCACAAACTACCATCAAGTTTGTTAAAAAGATGCCGGAACACACACTGTTAACCTTTAAAGCAATTTTCAAATACACTGTACTTATTCAATTAGAAGAGACTCTCAGATAACAGCAATTTAAGGCCTTTAACTTGTCAAGCATTCATTTAATTTGGCTTCAGAGCAAGTGTAAAAATGAGCATTGATTCAAAGACAAGAACAGCCCTATCGAACGTACCAGGATTCTGACATATTCTGACATAAGTGTCACATCAAGGCCTTAGTTTCAGGTTCTTCTAATAAGAAGCCAACTCTCAGTAACACTCTGATGAGTGGATTTTTTTATCTTCAGTGCTTTGCATACTCTATCCTGTCTGAATAATTGCAATCTATTTTATGCACTAAAGAGGTAGGAGAACTTAGTAAGATACTCCCTTACCTTATTCTGTTGGGGGGCTGTCCCAAACACAAGACCACTCTGCAGAAGTGAGTAAACTTGGTGAAGATTAGACACCATATATAGTTTTACCACTTTACTAAATTATGGAGTATATATGCATATAGTATTTCAGTGTAATTCTTGATCCTTCTCTTGGTTTTGCACAGCTTTCGTGTAAGTAGGAACAAACATTCTGTGATGTAACCTGAACCACATCCTGTGCTAGAGCAGTTCTGCACACCCAGTACTGTCCTATCCTTTCCCAGGTGCCTTCGTGAAGGATGAGAAGGACCCACACAGATGTACCAGAACAGTGACATAACTGATCGATTACAGGGCCCATATTTGATACTCATCCATTCTTGAGTCAAGAACTAATGTGTGCTTAAAAGTTATGTGCACTATACTGTAAGTACTTTGCCGGACTGAGACCTAACATAATAAATGAGGCAAAATAGACCAAGTTCTCCATCTGCACATATGTAACTGAAAACAAAACATTACACCAAATGAAGTATTTTATATAGCAGATGGAAACAATTCACGGTAACAGTGAAAAACAGGATGATGACATTATCAAGAGACTAGGACAACACTTCTGATAACAAAAATGAGATGCACTATTAAAGTGTTTCCAGCATTTTACTAGTTTTAATATAAAATGTTCCCAAATTTGTATAGAAAGATTAAAACCATGACCACATCTTCAGTTATTCTCATTAAGTCAATTCACACACTTACTTTTGTGTTGTCAAATTTCCTTTTTTTCCCCCCACTGATCTTCATAAAACTTAAATAGAAAATATGTTGGCTGCATTAAGGATCAATTAAAAAAGTATAATTCAGCATGTCACTTAAAAAAATGTGAAAGTCTCTACTTTTAAGAAAAACTGTTGACCCCATGCCCAAAAAGGACACACTTTTCTCACGCCCTCCATCCCCCAATAAGATAATTATTGGGATACTAAGCAGTATTCTTCAGGAGTAACAAGGATATTTCAAGCAATCTTGCTTGCTCTGGAGGGTTATTGTAACAAAATGAAAATTTGAAGGGATGTATTATTTTTAAATTATACTGCATCTACAAGGTTTTTATTATTTTCCATTGATTTTGGTTTTCAACAGGTTGTCTGTAATATAAATGACACATGACCACAACTCATTTTTATATACTCTCTATCCCTAACACACAGCTAATGTCAAATGAATCAAGAAGGAATTCAGGACTTGCATCACGGACAGAACCATTTATCCTAATGATCTTTAATAATTTTGTTCATTATTAAGTTCTCCTGAAACCATGTCAGTACTGATGATTTGCATTTCTTCATCCACTGGGGCTCTTCACAGTTTTGCAGCCATGAAATTGATATGTGGTTTCACCAGCGGAAAGAGTGGCAGACTGCGCTTGAATTCTGTCATATTTTCAATCACACTTGGCTGCAAAGAAGCGTACGCAAGAAAAAGTCTGCTCAGTGTCTTTCATCAGGAAATGTCAGAAATTCCTCACTCTTGACTTTTGCTACCACTACATATAAACACATCTTCCTTGCTCTTTTCTACAGTATTAGTGATTCACACTTCATTATTCATTCAACCAAAATACAGTGTTATTTCTTATGAAATAAATGGTTTCATATTTACTCGAGATAATTTAAAATAGTAGCTATAATGCAGTAATTGCATTACTAATATGGCAGGAATTGTAGTAAATGCAGAGCTTGTCCTTTCATTTACAAATTCTACTTAAGAACATCCCACCTATCCTTTGAATATCAGATGCAATATCATAAATACAATAGGAATTTAATGAGCTATTATTTTTAGCTGCAGTAACAAACTTTTTAATATTTCAGTCCTAAAAACTAACATATCCACATATAGTTCATAGAGAAACTTCCACCCATAGTGATTATTTCACCTAAAAGGACTGAATGAGAACACAGATCATCTTCTGCATTTCAAATGTTACCTTCCTTCTTCAAGAAGATTCATATGATGTTCAGTAAGGATCGTGCTATCATACCTAACCACACAATGAAATCTGTAATACTTGTATGATGAATAGAATTTGTCAAATTGCTTCCTCCACAGGTTACACATTGACAGGAATGTGCATTAGTATTTTGGACTTTAAGATAACAAAACAGATAGTTTTGTTGTTGTTGGTTTGGGGTTGGGTTGTTTGGGTGCTTATTAAACAAAAATGATAAATTAGTTGATGCACAGGCATCTTTGTCTTTGCGCTTGATACATCATCATATACATTTGATGTTTTCAGACAATAATAATCTGTACTTACTCAACAATGTAGATAAATTTCATTTCAACGGAATAGAAGGAACAAAGTGAACAGGACAGATTGTTGGGGAAAAAAAAAATAAGGAAAAATCCCTGTTTTTTTGAGGGTAACAATGCACACTGAAAAGAGCATGAAACATTAGCCCCACAACAGCATGAATATTAATAAGTTTGTTTCTCCCTAGAAAACTTACATTAAGAATACAGCCTGGGATTTTCTATGTGTTATTTCTTTTTACCTGTGGTAGTGGTGGTGCTGGTGCCAGGTTCACATCATTTTGGCATGGAAATTCTCCAACAACAGGGCCTATTTAATATCATCAAAATTAATTCAGGACCATAATTTAATCACTACCTTTACACAATAAACTGTTTTCTCTTATAAGACACGTATCTATATAAAGCACAGATTACTAATTTTGAAGTATTTCTAAATAAGATTTTCTGAACTTTTTATACTCCATAGCTGCTTTAGAAATAGAGAGCTCATGAATTCATTATTTGACTTGAGAACATGTGCTGAGGCAGTGGCTTTTATTTGTTTTACTTATACATAAAGAGAATGTAGAAATAAAAACTGCTAATCTACTGATCATTGAATACATAAAACTGTTTTTCAGTGCAGATTTTGAGAACAGTAATAAAAGCCAATGGTAAATGCAATGGAGGCGTGGGGGGGTTACTCTGCATACCAACATTCTGGGTAGCAACCCCAAGTCTTCCCTGCCTGTCCCCACGCATGCCCTACTCAAGTCCCCCAAAAATTTCTTCCAACATCCAGTCCACTCATCCATAAGAACTTACAGTCTTAAACACCTTAAAACTCCTTTCTACCTCCATACTCAAATTTCAACCCTAACATTCATCCTGAAGTGCTTCCCTCTCCTAAAATTCCAGATATGTACTTTACTGCTTCAAATTCTTTTTCACTCTCAAGAGAAAATGGTCTGTCTACCTCCAGGGTAGATGAAAGGGTTCTCTCTGGGATGCTTTTTAGCCTTCCTCCTCTGTGCTACTCTGTAGAGGAAGGGCACGTGCACTTGGAAGAATGCTCATTTGGACTCACAGAAAATGCATTAAAATCCCAGTTTCCCTTTCATCGCAGCAGAGAGGTCACATCCCAGGTTAAATGATTCAGGACTGGGGAGGAGTGCAAGTGCAAACTTGTATATTCACAAGTGTAAACTTGTGAATATCTTAACAAATCTTAACAAAACAACATAGAAGTCTTTCCTCAGTTTGCTTATATTAACCAGAAACACTTTTAACCTTTTATTTAATGAATTCTAAAATGGAACACAAACACAGCTCACAAAGAACAGCTAATCTAGAGTACTTGAAAATAAAAAATAAACAAGCTCTTACTTACTCAAGTTTAACCAAAATGTTTGAAATTCCTTGGGCATAATGGGGGGTTTTTGTGTTGTTTTGGTTTTTTCCCTTTGAGAGCATTTGAATAAAACTGTGGACACTCACTGCTTGTCAAAAAAAAACTACCCAAATTGTATTGGTAACTGCAAATCCTAATTCTGTTTTTCTCTCTAGGACTATTACAATGTTTTGGTTTTTAAATATTTTGTTGAAAAAATAAGTGCTATTTTAACATACTGTTTTAATACTAGTATACCTCAGAAAAGCTGAAGAACTCAGCCACAAACATGAATCAGAAAATCTGAAGCACCCATGTGAATAAAACCTATTAAAATATATACTTTTTTCCTCTAAAAGGTGTATAAATCACCAGAACTGATTTGATTAAATACTATATTCAGCACAATACTTACAGGAATCCATTTCCCTTGCAAGCACATGTACTGATACCTTGTGTCTCCTGGGAGCATCTATTGCCAACAGCACCTACAGTAAAATACAAAGTCCTTCAGTGTGGGAAGTATCACCCAGACATTATATTTATAAATACATGCATTTATAAATATAATTTTATATATTTATAAAACAGTAAAATAATTAGTGATTGCATTTTAATTTAATTTAAACTTTAACATGAGAAACTAATTTTGGGATGTTCCTTAAAATATTATTAAAAGTCAGCCATATAGTACTGTTAATATATATCCACATTAATTTTTAAAGTATTCCCTGAGCTATTAGCTGTTCCATAAGTAATAAAATACACACACTTTGCAATACTGTGACTTATCATTGCTTATGAAATTCATTACACAACAGAAAGAATAAGGCAATTTATTTTTTTTTGGGGGGTGGGAACCCACAAGTATTTCAATTGCTTATATTAGCTATCTAGCTAGCAACTGCATGATGAGTTTCAATGTACAATTATTGCATCATTATGCTGTTCCTTTGTTCTGCCTAACTATGAGAACAAGAAAAAGAAATGTTGATTTACAGCAAACCAAGCTTTAAAAATATCTGTTTCATTCACAGTTCATGCACACAGAGTAAGCTGAATCATCTCCTGGTTGAAGAAAAAAAAAAAAAAAAAAAAAGAACGAACTTGCAACTTTGGCCAAGCTTGGTCACAGAGCTTTCAGAAAGAAAGGATAAATGAGACAAGAGAAGAGCTAGTAACAAAAGAACAAAACCCAATCCTTCTCCACAATTTTTACAGCATACTAGCTGCATTTTAACTAAGTAAGATTCAGAAAACAAAATTATTAAGGTATCTGCACCAATCACATCACTTATCTACCACAGACAGAAGTATATGCTTTCATAGTTCACACAAAGAATATCTTCATCTCTTTCCATGTAGCATTTTAAACATGACTAACTCACCTTGTAGAACTGTATAATATCTTCCTTGGTCAGGGTCTTTAGATAAGCCACTTCGATGTTATCTGCACAACAATAGTAAAAATCAGGACAAGTCTGCAAATCATAGCTGCTTATTAGCACACTACTTATTCAGAGTATTTTTTTTTTCAAATTCAGATGCTGTAATTGCAAATTATATGCATTTCATTCTTAACTTTCAAGCTAATACTTAAATCAATAAAAGTGTCATTGGAAGCTTGGCAGAAAATGATACTTCTATTGGCTGGAAGTTCATTTGATTTGTCTTACTAAAAAAACCTCATGTTTGAATAATACTGATGCCACTGTATGGTATTCAGAAGCTAAAAAGATATGCCTACTTCTGCATATTATCTTCAAATCAACGTTACCTAGTTCTAATGCAAACTTATTATAGATGGCTTTTATTCACAGTTAGGCAACAGAATGGTAGGATATACTTTGGCAGAATGTACTTCTAAGTAAGTGCAAGGAATGCTGCCTACATCATACCTGCTAAGAAATAATAAATCACTTTTAAGATACCTGGGGACAATATTTCTCAGTAGCTACATCACTTCATATAAAATAAATTCTAATGAACTAATTATATAATATTGTTGCTGAATAAGCACTACTTTTTGTTGTAGGCATCCTTGCTTTTCCTACATTTAGCAGAAAGATCAATAAAGATATTAATGCAAGAGAACAAATACGCAGCTAACAAGTCTGTGAGACAGGCTGTAAATAATTAATAAGAAGTTCTACATAGAGGAAATAAAAAAGAAAGATCAACACAGTTCGCAAAATTAATGACATTTGGGAGGAAATTTCTAAATCAAGTAAAACCAAAAAAGTTGTGATAATAAAAATGTTAAACCCTAAAGAAAAAATCCTTTCACTTCTTAAAGCTGGAATATGAACTTCTGTTTTTGACAATTCTAGTCATATTACAATCACTAATGCAATAAAATTACAAGAGGGTAGAGGGGAATTAAAGATAGAGAAGTCAAAGGAAATACTAAGTTGAGAGTGGGATTTAGATATGAAAGATATGGCTACAGCTAGCAGTAAGAAATTCCAGAGATAATACAGATCCAGGTATGGTAAAAACAGAAACACTTAAGGCAGAAAAATATTAAACTGTTTTGTCAGACACAAAAACAATAATTGAAGGGATAAGTTTTCATGCCACTCCTTACACTCAGGCATGAAACTTTGTCAGTAGCTGTCATTCTCTTAAGACCAGGATACATGACAATTCAAAATTCTTCATTATTTAAACAGTTCAGTTAGTCATTGTCAACCAAAAAGACTGTATTTGTTATTGTGGAAGGCCAATACTCTGCATATAAAGAAAAGAAGTCACAGGATACAGAGCAGGTTCTAAGTAGGGAGGATGTTATACATGGAAGATGGAAAATTATCTTTGTGAATAAGAGTTGAGACCTGAAAATATAAGGAAAAGCTGATCTGCAGCTAGATTTTATTTTATGTTAGAAACTATATTATTACTGTATCTCAATCATTTGGATTAAAAACCTTCAAACAATAATGAAAAAGTGAAAAACACAACTTAAATGCTATGTAAGATCACAATGTAAATAACTGACAGTCCATTTTCAATAGTAACAATATAGGCTGGATGTCAACTGGTCTTCTATGAGCTTATGATCTTCAAAGTATCATGACTTTAAAAAAATAAATAAATTACTGTTTCTATTCTAAGGTAAGACAGGTCACATGTTAGTTAAGATATCTGCTGTTGTCTCTGCCATTGCTCCATCAAAAGAACTGCAGAATGGGAAGAGGACTAGGGTTCATTTGAATGTGTGCTCCATCAGGAATGTCAGTGTATTTGGATGAATCAAGTATTAGGTATATATGTAATACAGACATCTGAACAGCAGAGGTAGAAATCTGAACTTATGCAACATCAACATTTGCATTCAAACCACTTTCAGTCCTTGACCTACTTAGCCTTAAGAACAGAAGGTCAATGAAGTACTTGCCAACCCCCATGACACAGTGAACATCAGAGAAAACGTTTATCTTCTTTTACTACCAGCTCCCATGGCAGTGAGAGTACAGACTCCACAAATGTATTTTCTCAGGGCAAAAGGAAGAAATGCAACTTAAAGGACACAAATCACAAAAAAATAAACTAATGTATGCACAGGCTATAGAAAAGTTTAAGTTGTTACCAAATTAATATGACACTCAACAGTCACAAGTGCAGACAAACCACAGAATTCCTCTACAGGAATTGTAATTTGTCTTACCTCTGTCAAAATTATACTGCTGGGAAATTATTTCTCCCCAGTATTTAGCACATTCTGCAGACAGCTTCTTTGGTTTGTCTAGACGACGAATTGCTAAAGCTTGAATGTGTTTTTGGAAGGCCTCTTCTGTCATGTCTTCTATGCATTTCTCCATAGTTTTTAAGAATGCTTCAACTCTGCTTTCTAAATAGTGTGGTGGCTTTTCAGATTGGATAATAAATCGCAGTCCTTGTATGCCATTTGCCCGACGAGGACCACTGAACACAATGTAACCTTGGCAAAACAAGAATAGTCACAAATTAAAAGAAATCCCTTGTTCCAGCATGAAGTTGGCCAAACATGATGTATGACAGGAATCCAATTTTATGCTGTTTAATTCTGTATTATAAATTACATAATACACATTTTCAAAATATGTCACTATTTTATAAAAACATCTTTATTTCACTGAGGTAAGTATCAGTTCAAGGAGGACATAAGGCACACCAAGACAGAACAAAAGGAATTCTGTCCTCAGAAATAGATAACAAGAAAATTACCTGTACTCTAGTGCTTCATTAGATTCAACATAAGGAACCTATTTTTTCTTAATATCTAATCAGAATTCTCTTTGCTGCAATGTAAGACCACTATTTCTCATCTTAACAATTAGATACAAAGAAAATATTATTTTCTTCCTTTTTGTTCAGCTTTTGCTTATCCGAACACCCACACCTTTTTTCAGTCTTCTTCCCCTTGTTTAATAACAAATCTATCACATTTCATTCTCTAAGATGTTATTTTATAGCTCTCTAATAATTAGTTTCTTGATGCTCATGTCAAAATTGGATACAATATTTCAAAGTCCTTACCTGAGGAATATGGGAATATTACTGTCTATGCATCTTGGAAGGTCCCATTTATACAGCTCAGTGTTTTGCACAGCAGCATGACACTGATTTATGTTCTCTGATCCACTGTAACCTGTAGATTATTTTCTACATAACTGCTACCTAGCCAATTGCTTCCTAGCTTGCATCTATACCATCAATTATTTCTGCCAAACTATTCCTACCAAATTGCATCTTATCTTCATTCAAGTCATGTTTCCAAAATGTCAAATGAATTTTGAATTCTATCTTCCCACGCACTTGCAGCATCTCCCAGCTTAGTATTATCTTAAGATTTAGTAAGTACATTCACTCTTCTTTCATCTAGAGTTTTGATGAACTAAATAGTGTTGGATCACAGTAGAGCTCTGTAGAACACCATTTTTCTAATGAGCTATTTTTATCTATTCTCCAGTTAGGACCTTCCAAACAGGTTTGCATCCAATTGTGTAGCACTTCCATCCAGGCGCTCTCTTTAGCTTGTCTGAGAATGTTACATGCCTTTCGTACTATCATGACATACGACATCACCATTTCAATTCATGCAGCAAAACTCTGTTTTAAAGAGTCTGGTTCATTTGACCTGAGTATGTCCAGCAATAGTATCTCAGTTATTTTCCATTAATTAAAACTGATTTGGTAAGTTATTCTGTATTTTCCAGGAATTAGAATTAATCTGATCTGTTATTTCCCTGCTCTTCTCTTCCCTTTTTTAAAGGAAACATATAACACCTGTGTTTTATTTTTCCACTACCTCATCCCCAAATTCTCAGTAATAAGATTTCTAATTCTAAGATTTCCTAATTTGGGTTGTTTGGTGTTGGTTTTTTTCAATGTAAATTAGACTTCATCATACCCCACTTCTTTAAAAGTTTCTAATTTACCTGAACAACCTTTAATGTGTTATTTTCCTGTTCGAAGGTAAGACTTGGACATTGGTCATTGGTATTTATTTTGGAAACCTGGTCACAGTTCAAATTTTAAGTGAAAACTAACAAAGCCATCCTAAAACATGTTAACTTTTTCTTCCACCATTGACAAGTTTTCTCTTCCTCTTTCTCATACTGCTAAAGTATTTATTGATTGAGTTCTTGTTATTACTATTACTGTTCAGCAAAGTGCTAACTCCTGAACTTATTTTTCCCTTGGCTCTCTCAGTTCTGTGAAGCTTCTGGAATTTGCTGGTATTTCTACTGTCTTCCCTCTTAAGTCTTCTGAACTCACTGGGCAGTTATGCAGTGCTGGACACACTCACAAAGCTCTTCCTCACTGGCTCCCTTCCTCTTTAGCTGTTACCTCCAAGATAAGAAACCTGTACCACCAGCAGCAGATTAAAACCCTTGGTATTTATTTCAACAGATACCTAGATAGTTACATTCCATATGACCAGTACAGTATGGCTGATTCTGCTAGTTGCTCACAAGAAGTCTCATCTTGCCTTCATCTCCCTGGTAGTTCATAGTCATGATACTGAGATATTTCCCTGCCTTTCACCTTTGGAAAAACTAGTTCTCCTCATGAGTATTTCAAGCTTGCAAACTGTCAGGCAAAGCCTCTGTTCTCCCTTTGGTCACCCTGTCTGGACTAACCTTACCAGTTATCAGTCTTACTTCTTCAGGTAACATTTATTTGTACTTACTGGTTAACAGCCGCATTCTTCAAAAGTCTAAAATTTATTTAGCATGGCAGCTTACCATGACCCATACAGCAGTATCCCTAAGCTAAGGCTTGTGAATCATCAAGCACACCTGAAAGTAGCATTACAAGCAGAGAAGACTGAAGTACTACTAATAATTCTTAAAGAAGATGTAAAATTTAGTAAACTCATCTCCTTTTGGTAAAATTCAAGGTATGAAATTTTCTGTACAATGCTCAAAGCTTTTTTAAGCCCAAGTTGGTCTCAGATATTTCAGATTTATCTTAAAAACTATGTTTGCTTCTTCTCAATTTAGAGTATGTGAACAGTAACACCCCTTTGAGTCATCAGCAGTTAGAATTATTTACATTTACCAAGTGCTCTTTAAATGGCATTCACTAAGCAGGCAAAGGACACCTCATGTCTTATGTAAGTACATGAATGTATGTGTGCATGTGTGTATACAGGTACACAATCATGATTCAAAAACTCACCTAATTGTTCCTTGGTACGCAATGTGTTGAAGCAGGGTTCTGAGATAATTTGACAGAAGAGCTCCAAAAACATATTCTCAGAAGTGCTCTGCATGTCTGTCTGGTAATATATTTCAATGCCACAATTGTTATGGACTTCATTTCTCTGTTGATACACAAACCACCCTCCTAAAAGACAAAGAGGAAACATTTAAATTCATAAAAGTGTACATTCTGATTGTCAGAATGTCAGGTTGTCTGAATTCTTAAAATTGCAATGTTCTACCATTTGTGGAATGGAATTAAAATAAATGCTTTTGGGCTGTTAAAACAGAATTTCCATTAACAGCATACTTTTCATGAAATGAGTAAACAAAAGATTATTTCAACACATTGAAATGTCATAGCTTGAGCATATCAACAAGTAAATTGTAACTGGTTGCTTCTCCTGAATCAAATGTTTTTGGAACAGGACTGGAATTCTGCATTGCCTCCACTGTGTAATTAGTTTCTAAAGACAATTTATCAGAAATATTAATAAACATAAAAAATAATTCAGTATTTAAAATCAATAGCTTATTTGGTATATGGCAGTTTCCACAGGCTTATGATCAGCTATAGGTAATTGGGCTGTATAGCTAGATATGTAGTCATTCCTGCATAACACCCAGCAATTCCTTGAATCTCCTTTCTTATATATAAGGTATTTGTGCACAATAAAAGCAAAATCATATACAAACACTACAGGGCCAGAAAAATTTATATTAGAAAAAAATGTTACTTTTGGAAAAAGTTATTCTTCCTAAAAAGCAAAGAGTCGTTTAGGACAAACCTTCACTGAATGGCAAATTAATACTCAAAAGTGCTCAAAGAATAGTGCTTATTCAAAAGTGTGTATTTTGTGTAGTAGAGTGTGACAGGGGTCTTATTTCCATAAATCATACCAAGTGAATTAGGTTTCATTCATAAAATGGTTTGGGTTGGAAGGGACCTTACAAGATCATCTAGTTCTACCCCCAAGAAGTCCAATATACATATACAGATTAAAAAGGAAATAAAATTAAATTTCAAGTATGCCAGAAAGATAATACATTAGGTAGATAATTTTATTAACAAAACCACACCCTTATTATATTTTCAAATTTAAAGTTTCAAATTATTTGAAGTAAGTCTGATTTTGAAACAAACTCCTAGTAACTGAGTAATATTCATTTTTAAATACCATTATAAACAGAGAATCTCAACTTAATCTGTGTTAAAAAATGGTAAATAAATCGTTTAACTTACTGTCAGGAAGTTGCACTTCTCTGTATCTCACTAGCTGACTGGGAAGGAGTGGCTTAGTATGAGCATGCTCAATGAGAGTATCCTCAACCATCTGCATAATTCCTAATGCAGCCTGGAAGAGAAAATATAAGATTTTTAATTATCATTAGTTATTCTGCACCTAACAGCAGGCTAAGACTTTCCAGTTATTGATACTGACATGACAGAAAAGGAAAAAAAACAACCCTCAATAATAGAAAGTAGGAATATTGTAATTTAAGAAAATCACAGGATAAGTTAAGTAGATGAGAGGGGGCTTGGAGGCCAAGGGCTTTATGAGGTTTTTTATACTGATCTTATTTACAAACTTAATTACTTCTGCTTCTCCCTAACCCTTTTTAAATTCAAATTCAAAGGGCTTTTTTTTTTTCTTTCCCTTGACCACTTTGATGTACTAATTCTTCAAAGTTTGAAAATGAGATAGCTACCATGTGAAGATAAGAAGTCAAATTATGAAATCATATTTGGCAAAACTGCTTTAAGATCTGAGAAGATTAAACTAATGTTCCTTTTTTCTATGCTGCTTTTATATAAAGATTATTAAAGAAAGTATCACACTAACCTGTTTTGTTATATTGCCATGGAGAAGAGCTTCAATATGTAACCGCGACAACAGTTGAGCTATAAAGGCCTTGAGGCGGGGAAGAGTGACGTCTAGAATAGATATTTAGACAGTGAAAACAATTACATGCATTTTTACATTAAGAAGTACTATCTCATCATTAGGTATGGTGCATTTCTTAGAGGTGCACCTCCTCCTTAGAGGAGGAGAAGCTCATCATCATCAAAAGTTAATCTCTCCTTAAAAATGCAGGACCTGGAAAGCTTCCAGGCCTAAATAGCCACACACACCATATAGTTTGTTTTGCTTAGAATTCATGTACTGTCTGACCCAGATTTCAAAAGCAAAAAGAAAAGCCTTCTTCCCAATCATGCTAAACAAACATTTTCCAGAGAAAACAGCTGCAGTCATTCAGGTGGCATTCCAAGATGAAGCCTTAGTCATTAACTAAACAAGCAGCATGTAGTTTATAAGGCTTAAGAAACCTACTGTGTGCTTACCATTTAGTCTGAAAAAAATAACCTCAACTGAAATATGGTGGTTTGATAGTATCTTTGTAACAAAAACATTTTTTGCAATATATCCCAGAGCACTCATACACAGACATTCTATGCTAGCTGGTCTTTGCAAAGCGATTTTCATATGTAATGAAAAGTATAGTTTAACATACAGAATCAATGGATAGAGGAAGGATGGTTGAATGGATGAGGTGTTCATCCCAAAGTCAGTATCTTACACCCCTGAGCCTACAAGAATACCCTCTCTGTATCGCCAAACCTATTAACTGCTCACTTTTCATTTTCTCAACTACAATAAAAACTAATAATACTCGTGTAATTCACAAAAGTTTTGAAAAGACAAATGCAATCCTGATTATGAGGTCCCTCAGTTGTTCAGTAGAGGATGCATACATACCTAACACATTTGTGATTTCTATCAGAAAAACCTATACTGTGTTTATTAGTCTTTCCCTCTCTTAAAAGAGATAACTGACCACCAGTAAAAAATTCATTGCCACATTTTTCTTTGATTCCAAATGAATTTATAATCTTAATATTGATTTTTGCCTCTAGAATTGATTATTAATAATGCAAAATATTAGGGTCACATTAAGTGTGACAGAGAAAAAGGGAGAAAAAAGCATGCATAATCTCACTGTATTTCAAGCAAATTTCCAGCAATATTATGTAGACTACATTCCTTTCCAGCACTCCAATTTTAGCCATTCTTATGCAGATCGTAGTAGCATTAATCTTAAAAGACAACTTACACGTGGAACAGGAAAGGAACAGGAAATCTCTTGGCTTTTCAAAATTCAGTAGTCCTTAAAAAAGGAATGACCTACATATACCAGTGTTGATTATGCACTGGATTAATTAGACCCAGGTTCATTCTCACAAAGCCCTTCAAGCTTTGCCTGAATTTTTTCCTGCAAGTTTTGCCATTTGAGGCCTTTTGCCTGAACTACTACACTTTCAAGAAACTGGAGGACAATTGCAGAGGCATCAACATCTACCAGCATCAGCACAGGCCTGGCACTGCAGGGGCTTCACTTCATTAGTTTAGTAATAAGACATTTTCCATAAGAAAAAATAAAAATAATTAAGTTTAAAACCAGCAGAACATTACCATCTAGAGCTTCTTTTAATTCATCTTTGGTCCAAGCAACTTCTGTCATCAGGAGTCGGAGATAATACATTGCATGCTGGTGAGGCTGTTCAGCTCTGAAGTTGTTAAGTGATCTCATGTACTAAAACAAAATAATTAGGCTCAAGTTACAGAACTCTATTTCTAAACATAAAATATTAACCTTGTTCTCTCACCTTTGTGTACTATCAAAAAGATACATTTCAAATGTCTAGAACATTCTCTTGCTAGTTAGACTTGTTAAAAAATTGTGTTGAATTACTATAATAATAATAATGTTGGCTTGTAAGCCTATGGATTAATCAGTAACCATTAAAGTAGCTGATGTAAGCACAAATTCAAACTTCTCCATAAAATTAATGAGTGGAAATTAAATTATTGCAGTTAGACCTAAGTTAGATCGCCTACCCAGGAAATATTCTATGATGACTGTCCAGGGGTTGGCTAGGGGAATACTGCTAACAGAAATTGTATTTTCCTCCCAGTTGCTTCCCTGGTCTGACTGGGTTAGAAAAATGTAAGTGCATCTGGGAAACTCTGCATTCTTTGCCTGGATATGAGAGAAGAACCAGTAAGCTTCTCCAAAGAAACTCCTTTCTAACTCAGCTGCATCTCTACAAAATAAGCAAATTCTTTTTTTCACTACCAGAGGAACGGTAAAGTGCAAGCTAATAGTTTTGGCAAGCAGGTACCACCTTCAGTACAGGAGAAAAGCAACTCATTTCAGGGCACATGAGAGAAACAGCAAGCATGAAATTGCTGAGGAGGCATCCTTCCATCTGTTCTAAATAGATGTCAGGTGCTAGTACCTCCTTATCTGCTACATGTGGACACGAGGGGGAAATCTGCCATCTGCCCATTTCATTTGAATTCTTTATGTTTTGTCCTTATTTTACATACACAATAAGCCTACGTAACAAAAGTCTATAAAATGACAAAGCATGTATAATACAGAGACAAAGCTCAAGCAAACTGTCAAGACCATCAGGGAAACATGTTAAACTAGAACAAAATAAGCCAAAACCCATCATTCACAGACCTGTGCACTGGTTTTTTTTACCCTGACATTTGCCACATCCAGTTAAAGCTTTCCAGACAATTATGTATTCCAAGTACACAGAGCCTTAAATAAAGTGATATTATAATAAATCTGCCTCATGTATGATGTCCACCTGCTTAGAATTTCCTACTAAACAGTAATGAACTAAAGATAGCTCTGGTGTCTGTCCCAGCCAGTCACCCGTTCAAAAATCACCAGCAGGAGAGGATTAAAGTAAGACTATAGCAAGCATGGAGTGATGTTCCCTGCAGCCTTAGCTCTCTCATCCTACTGCAGGCTGTCTGCAAGCTTTGACAGCCAGAGTTCAGTCTGTTCTCCAACACCAGGCTAATCCTGTGTACTAATTTATGCTTCGTTTTACCTCTGTCTTGCTCTAAAGAAAGCACCTAAAGAACAATTATGTATCTTATTTAGCTTAGCAAATGAAATCACTGTTCATAAATTTAATTCAGGAGATTAAAAAAAATATATCTTTTATTCCATATATATAGATGAGTTATTAAACTTAGGAAGTTAGACTTTTAAAAGTCAGAATGCACTTAAACAGCTGGTTACTTTTATACCAAAGGATCTTAGCCCAGAAGCAGAGCTCTTCACACCTGAGAGGAAGAAATGCTGCACATCTTTTCAACACTTCCTTTCCCCCCTTTTTTATGGCTAGATCCCACTGGGGCCTTTCCAAATTTTACAGTTAATATTCCCTGCTACTCTGCCACCCGCCCTCCAAGATTTCTATTCCTGTCAAATCAAGTTGCAATTCCTTGATCAATCATAAGAAAGATCACCTTAAAGAAGATTCCAGGGCCCATGATTTTTAACTAAGAGTGTTACATAAACACTTCAGAGAGCTCATAGCCACAAGGACAAAAGAAAAATGTTACGCAGTCCCAATAAAGCAGAATTTAACTCTCTAAATTAAATCTGAAGATTGATTTAATGGAAATAAAGTCAACACATTCAATTTTAAATTACTCCCGAACATAAATTCCTCATGTAGCTTACCGCTTCCTTGATAATTTCAAATCTTTTTTCATCAATCTCAAAAGTGGCCATTTTCTCAATTATCTTCTTAAGCAAGATATGTTGCTTGTCATTATAACCTTTTACAGAAAGCTATGGAAAAAGTGCATAATTTAAATGTGGAAGATGAAAGAAAAAAATAATTACAGTCTTGTAAAATTCAACCTACAATATGCTTTCCAACACTTACTCTAAATTCAAAGCTATTCAACATTAACTTATCCTGAAATAAAATCCCTTTATTCATCCAAAGATAACTGATTACTGTAATATCGTATATTTGTCCAGGATTTATAAATGCAGAGAAGTAATGTAACTTCATAGTGATGTAAGCAAATTGTACTTAGAATACAGATTTTTTTAGGACTACATGCATTGAGTCCAGCCAGCAAACTGTACATTTGGAGTACTGAAATGGTTTTACTCTAGATTTCTTATTTCTGCAACGAAATCTAGATTCACAGCCTCTCCAATTTACATTTAACCTTGTTTCATATTTATCTTGTTGCTGAAAAATATTTTACATAAGCATAAGTAAGCAGAACTACAATAAAACGAGTACTGTCAACAGGAGCACAATTTACAACCAGGATGGTGCTGGGCTGAAACACCAAGACAGTGAGTTTACAATCATAGTGAGATATTGATCTGACCATAAACCTTTTTTTGAAAGCATATATGAAGCAAACATTTTCACTAAAAGAACAACACAGAAGTTTAGAAATTACTATATGATTGCACCAAGATACAGAAAGTCTATCTAGTGAAAGAAACCATGAGAAGGCATTTTTTTTGGGGGAAAATACTTCAAAAATTTTAACTGGAGTTGTAAAACTAAATTTTAGGACACAAACTAACATACATGTGAATTCCTGCTTTCCAGTAGGAACTTTTTTCTTCTATAGTTACTAAAACATACCTGACCATGAATTTGAAGAAAAAGCTCTGATAAATGCATTTGTGACCAAGGCTGAAACATCCTAAATTAGCCTAAGAACCCAAACTGTTCAACAGTCGCCACAGATGATTGTTTTGAGTGTGTTATCTGTCCTTGCTTAGAGTATCAATACTGTACAGTTGCACATATTGACTATAAAACTTCTCATAATATAAAAAAATATATTAGAAGTTCCCAGATATCAAAACTGAGTCAGCTGTTTTTAATATGTGGAAACAGAATATTTGCAGTAAGAGTATAAAATACATCTAGTATATAAAATAACTCTCAATTTCTAAACTGTGACTAAAAATTAAGAAAAATACAAACCAAAAAAATACACCTTTTTTCCCCCGACCCTTCTTTTTTTTAAAGGAATTAGATCTGACCATAAAAACATCAGCTACCTTTGAAAGAGAATAGATAAGCACGCTTGCAGTAAAGTAAGTAAATGCTACCAGGAAATGAGGTTTCCGTTGGATTTTTAAAAATTGCAGCAGTCTCTTTCATCAGGAAATTATGAATACAACATACAGTGTATTCTTATTAAGATGCTTTGGAAAAAACACTTCTACAGGAAATTTCAAATTACATTTTGATCTAAAATGAAGGTTAAGAAAAGGTTTTAACAGAACTTCAAGAGAGACTATTAAAATCTCCTATCAGAAATCTCACAGGGGAAGCTAAGTAAGAAATAACCATTTATCAAAATGTAAGTATTTATCGAGTGTTTTCAAAACTTTAAAAAAGATTATAAAACATGTAATTAAAAAAAAAAATAAGTAAAAGCCATAATTATCCAGCACTACATTCAAATGAACACATGCACAATCCATTTCCACAACTCACTACAGCAGTATTAGAAAATTTTAACAGGAAATAGTAGAGATTCATTCAACAGAAAAATTAGTATTTTTATATAGAAACCAGCAACAGCATATTCAAGATTACCATGCAAGGAAGTAAAAATGTGATCTAGAATGCAACAAGGGCACTGCACACATGTTACAAGACACCACAATCTGAACCAGGTCACTCAGTGCTGATTAAAATACACTGGTTTGCTTTGCCTTTAATTCACAAAATATACGCAAGGAAAAAAACATTAACCATCTCATTTAAAAATGCCAAAGTAAAATGTTTTCTCCAAGCTCAACAACCCCCAAGCTGCTTCATCTCCTCCTGCGTTTTTTTTCTTACTTACAAGTATTGCATTCATTCCTGATGCAATGCCATAGACCAAACCTGAGAGGCGTGCTGCATATGTATACTCTTTTAAATCATCCTTCAATAACCTGATAAACAGGTATGTCATGTTGCAATGGAGAGGATCAGCATAAATGTAGCGACTAACAAAAAGAAAAACAAAAGAAATGCTTTGATACCTCAAGCAGTGACAAAATAATGGATGAAGAAACATGACTGAAGAGTATGTATATGCAGCCTCATGATCAGTAGTTCTTGAACAGGAAAGTTGAAGTGTACCACTTATTTAATAGCATTAAAAGGGGGGGTGCCTTCTACCCCAGCAGTCAGAAAGTTTTTAGTAGATATCTGACAAACTGAAATAAATATTTAAGCTTGGATGAGGGTTGCTTTTTTCTTTTTCTTTTAAAGGAGGAAGAAATCTTACAACTGATTAATTTAATGAATAATACAAAAATGAAGAAGAAAATTTGCTTAATATGAATGGAAAGACTGTTGAAAACTTTGAACAAAATTCAACTTAAAAATCAAATTAAAGAAAGGATGGTTAATAACCAAGATCAAAAATAGTAACAGCCCATTAAAAAAAATATAAGTCCTTCCATCAAATCAATAGAAAAATGTTGATGAGTGGAAATAGTTTTAAGGCTCTAAGCTCTTCCTTGATCTGGGTACTTACATACATCCCATAGATGGTATTTTGGAGATCATAGTTCAAGCCAGCTAGTTCTGCTGCATATGCATACTCGTTGAGGGAGTCTTTGAGTAGTTCAAGGTACAAATAGGCCATGTTACAATGCAAGGGATCCACGTAAGCAAATGGGCTGGAAGAAAATGTTGAAAGTAAAATATGCAGTTTAAAATTATTTCTCAGTTTCTTTTGGCCTTTTATGTTTGATGTGAAATAATATTTTCTGAGTATGCTGATGGATCCCATTATGAAGTACTCCTATTTCAAAGCCAAATGTGAACATAACAAGAAGAATCACTTAGCTTGCTTTTGTTTAAGCAATGCCTAGATACATGGAAGATTGCAGAGATACTTTCTTATTTGTGCTCATAAATCAAGACATGTTATATTTACTTTGGTGCACATTCAGAATTCACAAGGAGTAAAATAAAATTAAAATATTAATAAATATTATTTAATAGACTTAAATGAAAGCCCACAAAATGAACATAAATTAATGAAGGCTTCTATGCTATCAGAAAACAAAAGTGTTTTGTATTACAAAAATTAGGATATTAGCAATTTATGGTAAGGAAAAAAAAATGCAGCACATGCTAAGTTCAGTTCAGGAAAGAAGTTCAGCATATCCATTTTGATACCACCATAATTTCTTTGTGTTATCTTTTTGATAGCAATAACTATACAAGTTCTACTTTTATGAGAAGCAACTGATCAACATCCAACACTGTTGGAAATTTCCCAAAAAGCGAAATGTGAATTGATCCATGTTTCAACTGCCCTCACGGTAAGTATCTGTGCTTTCAAGATTACCACAGTCATGACAAGTTATTTGTACTATGATTGGATATTTATTTCTAAACCTTTCAAAGTGCACATAAATTCATTATCACTTTCACAGAAATAACCAGAAGTATCAAAAATTTGCTGTCAGAATGCAGCTTACAGGTCAAACCCACGTAATTTGCATTTACTTTCCCTAAGCAACCACTAGTGGTCATATTCAGAGACATGTTATTACATATATTTATGCCTATATAGCATAGTATTACATAGTGTATACCAACATTAATGTAATAAAACAAATACCAGATCACCAAAATACACATGCTGATAACTTTAAAATACATTGCAAAGGAATTTTTAAAGAAGGTTCCTAGTAGGCTTTTCCCTTTAGACTAAGGATACATGGGAAGAGATTTATTTTTTTTTCCCATCTATTAGAGAAGCAGAGCCTGCTAAAATCTGAAATCTTAGCCTGAGATACATTTTTTTATTACCATAGAGTTATTATTTTGGGTTTGGGGTTGGACTTGTGTAACTTGAGCAAATGGGTCAGTAAAAAAAAATAGGACTCTGCTATTTGCACTTCTCCATACACGGAGAACTTCTCAAAACTGAATAATTTCAATATGCTCAATGATGCAAAACCAGTTAATATTGAATTTTTAAATTAAGACTGAATTCAAAGCAAGATGTAGGTCAAATCCTATGTTATCTTAAATCTTCCACCAAATTCATTATATTCTTTTCCATTTTGATGCTTGAATACAGACTTAATCAGCTTGAGTGATCACCGTGTCTGTATCAGCTATAACTTCCGTATAGTCATTTACGTGGCAAAGGCCAACAGGGAGTTTTGAAAATAATTGAAGACTACTAAATCATTAATCCTCGGGTGAAAAATTACAGAAGACAATTATCAGAACACTGTTCTGGTAGTCACCTTCTATTACTGGCAACTTTGTAAATAAATGCTTATGTCTAACTTGAGGAAGCAGAACAATTCTATCACTGATAGTGTATTTGAGAAAATCGTAAAGTCTAGTCTTTTCCCCTTTCAAAAAGCGCTGTAAGCGACACTAAAGTCCTGAAACTGGGTTACCTTATGAGCAACTCAAGTTGCTTGAAATATTTCTTAAATTGCAAGGTAGCAAAGATCCAGTTAAAAACAATTAGCTTTATATATTTAACATCTGTCTCTCTGAACCTTGGGAAATTTGAAGTGCAGAGTTCATAAATACCTTTAGCAAATTTTCAAATAATAGCAAATTGCTTTGTTAATTTGCCTCCTTTTAAAAGAGGAAACTTGTGGAGTTCTTAAGTAATGAATTGATACAAAAGCTGGTCATCCATTAGGCTAGATGATTACACCCGTATCAGAGGTTTTTACTGTGATGTTTCTGTAATGCAAGACTTGCATGTTCAGTTTTGGAAGAAGGCGACTCCAAGAGGCTCGTACACTCCGCTAGTTTCTACTGGTTTTGTACGTTTGAGAGAGAAACCACCCTGATCAACTTCCTTGTAGTTCACCTACACAGCAATTACTGCTACAACATCTAAGTCAGGAGTTTTCCAGTGTTTTGTGATGATCACAGCTGCAGGCAGAAGAAATCCTCCTAGTTTTTTGCATCTTACTGAAGCAGTCTGTAGTGTGAAAAAATTCTTGTAATCTGCTACAAGGCAGCAAAGACATCATATTCTCATCTGGAATTGAGGCTGAATTTTCTTATGAACACCCATGTTATTAAGATGGCTTTATTCACCAGTTCACTTGGCCACAAGAGCTATGCCTTATTTCATCATGCCTCATGAATAAACACTATACATTTCACCATTTCCTCCAATGACCATCAGCATGACCAGTCTCAAGAGAGAGATTCACCAAGAATCCTTAAGTATCAAATTAGACAAGCCTTTTCATAAATTATTTTGGAGAGGTTGTACCCAGTATCATCAAGTTCTCCTCACATCCTTCATATATAATTACCAACTTATTTTTAAGGAAAAGAGCCCTCGTCCCCAACTCTAAGAAAAAAAAAAAGCCAGCTTTCCACCTGCTTCCTAGGAGGAGAGAGGCAGACCATTCCATTGCATTAGCCAGCAAAGCTCAAGTACGTGGCTGACAAGGACTTAACAGTACATCAACAGTCCATCTGCAAGCATCTACCACAGCCCGCATAATAGCCTTCCCAGCAGTATTACTGAGTCACTTAACTAGAAGAATGCAAGACCAGAACTAACACTTCAGCACTTTATCACGCATCCTGAGGTGAGAATCACACTTGGATTATGTAGACAGTATCAATAAATTAAAAAATCAGTTGTTGGTGTCAGTTAAATAAAATCCCATAATTTTAAGCACCTAGAACTTTATACTGGCTTGCTTTATGCAAATTAAAACACAATTTTAACCTAACACATAATCAGAAGAATGGCATTTTACAGAGAACACACTGTTTTAAAATAATTGTGGTTTAGTAATTAATAAAAAATAAAACAGTTTTGAAGAGGTATATTCCAATATGTCTCAAGTAAAACTGATATTTAAGGCATATTTAAGGTATACCAAATAAATAATGGAAGAAACATTGTTTTACATACATTTTGAGACAAACTTTTCCTTTTAATACATATAGAGCACCTTAAATTGCTTGCTATTTTACTAATACATAACTTACATGAGCCTTCTGGCTATCTCTGTCTTATTGCATATAACCAAGTAAAGACAAACATTTTAAAGCCCCAATATATGCAAGCAAGTTTTTGCCACAGAAATGCTGATTCCCAACAAACAAGAAACTTTTGGAGAGCAATTTGTGCAATATTTTGAACATTGCATACCTGAAAAACTCAAAGTTGAGACAAGCTTTTGGCAAAAAAAATTTGTCATCTTGCTTGAACCACAGTTTGCTCATAGCAGTATCCTGTGACAAGAAAAGAGGTTTTGTTATGTCACCTTACTTTTAACTATAACATATTACACTATTTAAAAAATCTCTTTACCACCTCAAATCACAGTTTATTGTCGTTCATTTAAATTCATATTTTTACTGTATACGTTTGTGTGTATAACCATCCTTATTGAGACTCTGTTCTTACCATACATAACCTTACAGTCAAAATAGGAAATACTTTTCTAGAGTAGGAATGATCAAAGGCAAACATGAAGTTAGCTTCATATAATTTCCTGCTAATGCTGGCGTTAAAAGACATGATGACAGCACTACAGCATCATACATTTACATGTTTTAGACTAAGAATATAACTGTGTATTTAATGTTTTTAGTAAAAAATATTAATGCTATGTATGCTGTCTTAAAGTACCATTGGTAACAAAACACACACACACGATTTAGAAAAAATAAAATTGGTTTGGAATTACCTCATTTTTTTAGAATAATCTTACAATACCAGAAAGAATTTAGGCAACACCCCCATTGCTTTTTCTCTCACAAAAGCTGTGAAACAGATTCTTTCTGTTCCAACTCTAGTTAACTTGATCTCCCCAACATCTTTTCTTTGAATTGCTACACATAGGAGGAGAGAACTTTTAAATGTAAATTTTTTTCTCATATATTTGAGATGTTCTTTGCTTCTCAGAGATTTAGAATGGTATTTTACACCTTTTTGCATAGAACTGAGTCTTGTATCTTATAGCACACGTTCCTCTACCCAATATTCTACTCATAGTAAAAAGCACAATTACAGCATCTCTGAGACAACAGAATTTAAATTCTGTAAATTTACACAGTTTGGAATACATCTTACATCAGGGACAGAACAACGAACAGTAGAGCCTGTCTGTAGCACTGGAGACCAGATCCAATACCTAGAGATTGCTAGCTGCACTCCACAGTAACAATCTGGCCCTTGGGTCAAACCTATATCCTAACTGCCCTCCTCCTGATGGCTTTTCAGGGCAAGATGTGCCATTACAACAAAGGTAATGACATGCTTCCAGCAAAAATGGCCATCCTGTTCCTGCACTTTAGTTTCCATCCCTCCCTTTCTCCACAACACTGGTCCAGTCTCCAGTAAGCTCACTTAGACATATGAAACAGCAGAAAATTTGGGGGTTTTGTACAGCTAATCTCTGCTGATGCAGTTCTTGCACTCATGCAGACAAAACAGGTAATGTCAATTTCATCAAGTACAGAAGATTAACATTATCACTCAGAATAGCGTTTTAAAGCGATGATGCCTTAGAGCAAAGCTTTCATGAGTATCAGTTGCCTAGCTGCTACAGAGACACTGAAGGACCATCAAGTTTCTGTAGCAAACCAATTAGTGTTACTTAGAGAGAGTTGTAGTATTTGTCACTGCTGAGGTTTAGGGTTTCAATTCAGGTTGAACAAAAACATAGGCTCAAAGTCCTCCTCTGTTAATAATACTGCTTCAATTATATATCTAAAATGTCTTGTGCAGAACAAGTATGTTTTCCTGAAGGATATTTTTGCACTACAGTAGCCTTATATTAATCTAGTGTGCAAAAAGTATTCCTGAATTGAGTATTCAGGCTAAAGCACAACATGCAATTACAGAAGTCTTTTCCTATTTGTCCTCTATGCCTAGAACAGAGGTTAGCATCAGCAAAGACAACTACACTTTATTAGTAAGAAATTTTACTAAATTTTAGGTACTCAGAAAAACTGTGATTTTCTAAATATATTTAAATCATTAAATGATGCTTTGAGAAGACTAGAGAGTCATGTTTATTTACGTTTACATCCCTCTGTTTTTCCATGTAATCACAAGCTTTCTCCATTCACAGCTACAAAAGACTAGCCTTGTCTAACACTTTCCATTTACTGAACATGCTCAAAAAAATTTGAGTGGTAGTCACACTTCTACTGAATAAACACCTTTAATAATACTTCTATCAATTGTGAACTTGCCTTCAGAATGGTAAAGAAACTTCAAGCTGTTTGTAGATTAACTTTCGTAGGAACCCAAATAGTCATCATCCAACATTTAGCAAGAACTAACTTTCTACTGTCTTTCTAGCAATATCTTTAAGTTTTGTAATTTTTTTGTTTACTATTCTTTGGAATATGACATCTGTATTTTAAAAACACATAGGAATTAACAGCATGCTAACTTCCCAGAAGGATATGTCGCTCACAGAACAAATACAGATAGCTTACCTTAACAAGGGCAGGATACTGTGTTGCATCTTTTTCCAATGGCAAAATCTCAAAGTTAGTGGGAATGAACTCATTCTTCATTGGAAGCTTGAATTTCCCATTGAGGTCAGCATTTTGCCATTTCTAGATAAATCAGAGAAACAATGAGCCTAAGTCCAATTTCTGCTTAATTAATCAAGATACGCTTATTTATTTTGTGCTGTACCAAGAGATTTAAAAATGTATTCTGCTAGCTTATGTGTAAATACCAATAAGATAAATGGGAAACAAAAAAATATTTGGGAAACCAAGCTGGAGTAGGCTATCAGCAGGATAAAGTCTCCTAGGAAGAAGACAATAGATAAAAAATAATTCTGAGAAGTTTATAGTAGAGTGGAAGGTGGTTCTGTGTCTCATCTTTTCTGCTACTGTGAACTCTAAATGAAGGTATCAAACTGAATACATTAACAAAAATTCTAATCAACAACATACGTAAGGACAAGCTAAAGGAAGTGTGTTCCAGTGCAATGTCTGTTCAAAGTACACTCAACAGATCAAATATATTTCAAGGGTGTATTTTCCAGCCATCTCTTCCTCAATAACAATTTTCAATAAGAATTTGCATACCTCCTTTACTGGAGTTTTGCTTCTTAGAAGCTCATTTTATTGGCTAAATATACCCATTTTCTACGTTGCAAACAGCAATTTCAGAAACACAGTTACATACAGCAGTTGCATAAAGACTCCTTTCTTGAGAACAGATTAGTTCATTAACATTTAACAGACTTTTCAGATTTTAAAAGTTCATGCTTCCTTTTTACATAGCCACTGTATACTATGTATCTTTTATGGCAAAAATAGCAGAACATTCCTTGTACTTAACAAGGTGTAAAAACATTTAAATGTGTTTGTCCTGTGTAACAGATACTTGAAATCTAAAGACTAACTTTAGATCTTTAGTTCTAGTAATATTAGACAGACTCATTGTACAACTTTCTTGCTATGTAGAGCAGCAGATTTAAAAGTTCTCCCTTTAACTAAATGGAAAATTAGACCAAAAAATTACCACTTTCTTGCACTTGCAGATATTAGAATATATTAAAAGTTTTAACATGCCTTAATGACTTCATCAGAAATTGCTTCTTGCTTGTATTGTGTTCCATACCAGTCTTCTGTTCGATCAGTTTTTCCTTCAAAAGACTTGGAAACTATTGCAACTCTGAAAACACAGAAAGAAAGCAGTTTGGCATTAATGTGTCTGAGAAAAGACTGAGATATTACTCCGAGCAGTTTTTCTGTTCATCATTAGAATGTGCTTATTTCTGGAAAAGATCCCTGAACCATTACAGAGTAGATTCAGATATCAAGTATATGTAAACTGAACTAAACTGAACACAGTAAAGTTAACCATGACATCAGGTTATTAGCATAATTTAATTTTACTGCTTTTCTAAAGTGTTACAACTTGGAGTTACACTAAATTATTGTTGCGTGCAATTTCTATTTTTTTGACTTTGTTCCAGAAAACACAGAAAGCAGCCCTTGATATCTTCTACAAAACTAATGGTGACTATACCATTTTCATACCACCTATATCAAAACTCAGACAAAATACTGACTACAGAAATTTTATTTCAGACTTAGCATTTACATTACTGCAGTTTCACTATCCCATTCCTAATCTGATAGCAAGAAAATTTCTTCATTTTGTATCATTCTTATATTCTCATTTCAGACTGATATCTGTTTCTCACCCCCTTTTTTGTTGTTGTTTTGTTTAGTTTATTTGAGAGAAAGGGAAGAAAAGCAGAAAGGTTACTGTATTTTACAGTCAATAAAACAGAATTTTACTCAGTTAGAAACCTCAACCATGGAATAACTCAAACTGGACGGAACCCATAAGGATCAAGTTCAACTTCCTGCTTCTCGTAGGACTACCTAAACTAAGAGCATACCCTTGGGAATAATTTTGCAATGCACTGAAAAGTTTAAATATGTGAACTAATATTGTAAATACTTATGTCCTCATCTCTCATTTTTCATCTAATGTTTGCAGATAAATTATTAAATAAATGATCCAAAAAGGTTGAAGAAAATAGGAGTCTTCTATATTTAGTTCTAGATTCCCCTATTGTGAAGATTTTCAAGCTACTAATAATTTAACTTGTTCTTTGCAGCTTGAGTAGCAGAACAGTGGGGTAAATAGCTAGCATTAGATGCATTTAAATAAATGAGAAGTACATCTCAGAGTCACATGGGATTGCCAAGACCGCTTCTACAGCAATAGGTTAAAAAATTCAAGCAGGACTTGCACAACAGACTGCCTAATTTTGAGACAGTATTTTGTATTATACACACTAATGAGGAGAAATCAAATCTCACATTTCAGGAACACAGATTTCCTCTGGGTTGAGGAAGGGAGAAATTTTTACTCCCCACCTTTGAAAGAACCACAATTATCATAAACATGCACACACATGGAGAAAACAACCCCTGCTCCTCTGCAAAAGGTATGGAATATCCAAACCAGAACGACAATATTAATCTTTAAAGAATACATACTTCATCTCTTATTGCAAACAGCAACAGAAATAGGTAACACTTCTATTGTGACTTCGTATAAAATCATTTCATATCTGTTTGCATGTTAATCTATTTGATTATTTTATACAAAAGGAACAATACTAAAATATTCAGCAAAAAACTATGTGCTTTAGTCTTAGATAATATTTGTTCTTGCAACACAGCAGACGCTAGCTCAGTTAACAATGTCAGCTCTATTACATAGACTGCTGTTTACAATAAAATGAGCAATAAGAATAATCTGTGATATTTTGCATTGCAACTTGGACAGCTGGTGAGCAAAAGCTCTACCGTGTACAGACGAAGTTGCTAAGAGACCGGAAAAAACATGAAATCTATGAGAATTTCAGAGCAACCTACCAGACCCTTTTGCCCATTAAATAAAAAAATAAACCGAGAAAATTGTGATTTTCAAAATCTTAGCTCAGATACAATGCAATTACAAAATAAACACATACATTTCATATTTGTAACACATTTATCATCAAGGATGAGCATCACTGACTACACTATATATCTGTTGGCTCAGTATCTGAAATTCCAGCCTGTATCAACAGTTTTCGCATTCATATTATTTTTCATCCCTCTAAGATAGTACTAGTGCTGCACTTCAGATATCAAGAGAAGAAAAAAGTCCATGTTCTTCAGTTGCTTAATTGAATGAGTCACTACCTTCTTCAATTTCAATAAGAGCATTTACTCTACATATGATGGGGGGAGGGGAATGTATTGGAAATGATGGGAAAATTACATTTTTCATCTAGGATTGCAACACACACCAAGTCTATTATATTCAGAGAGCTGGCAAAACCCAGTGCACACTGAACAAGTAAAAATGGTACTTAAATCTTAAAAGGGTTTCTCTGATAGGGAAATTAAGCCACTGAAAGCAACAAGTAGTGGGGGGGGGGTGCGGGAGGATAAGAGAAAAACTTCTTGTTATGGTTTAGTCCAATACAAGCACATATGGATACTCGCTGCCATCTGTGAGTATGGGTATTTTTCCATACTTTTTAAAAACATCGTTTGTTAAGAAAGTAACATCTTTAAACACCTGATGTCCTGAACAAAAACAATTCATTCCGACTAAAAGTGAAAGGACTTACACTTTAATGTCTCTGAAAAATCAGCTTACAGTATCATCATAGCCAAGCACAGAAGCACAGCTATGACTTTTGAGTCTATACTGAAAAAACATGTCTTTTAGAGTGGCAGGAAAAAGTAACGTGACACTTAAGAACCTCAATTTTGGTTTGATGTTTTGGATTTCTTTTTTTAAGTTATAGTTTTAGAGAAGACAAATAGTCTGAGCATAAAGAGGACTAAGATGTAAATTTACAGTTGCTATGGCAATAGGAAGCACTAGCATGGGTTTAGTCTACACATAATAAGTAATATATTTACCATTAATCTGAATATATACTGTTCAAACTCTACGTATGCTGGCTCCTACATCGTTAAAGGCCTCCTGCAGACTTCACTAGATCTACCTTAGAATATCAGTGCTTTGCTGAATTTTGCTGTTGTAAATGCATTTAATCAGCCTTTGGTCACCCTCCAGTCTGTATTTCTATTTAAGCCTTAGGGGGACAGCTGTATTTAACCTTCAGAAAGGTTGGCTCCATCTTGAATAAAGTCTTTTTTATTTAAAATTAATCCACAATTACCACGTGTATATTTTCACCACCAGCAAGTCACTTTGTCAAATGTGAGAAGACTGATGTAACCCTACAAAATTACTTTAAATAAAAGATACATATAATTATATGCAGTTCTTTTCCTTAGTTACTAATGTTTAAAATAAGTTAGGGATAAAGGCTATGTCTTTTTAGAAGTACTTATTCCTCTCTATCTAATAAAATTCTTGCTCTTTTCTCCCCCCTCACCCCTATTTTTTTTTTTTAAACCAAGGACAAAGAGGAATGCACAACTGCAAGTACAAATGCAAGTTTATATACACTAAAATAAAAAGTATTTCTGAAACAGTTATGTTTACTACATATTTGAAAAAAAAAGCACACCATGTAACATTTGAAGGTCTTCTAAAAATTGTTACCCATATTCATGTGTTTCTGACTACAATCTATAGACTTGAATCTTCTTCCTCTACTTACATTCTCTACACTTTCCTTTCTCACACTATTAACTTTTGAACAGGTTAATTATGGCTGTTTTATGCTGACTTGTTTATCTATTGCTTGTAAGCAATTTTAAAAGCAGTTAAAAGTTCAAATTCATGTGGAAGCTTTCTTCTGAGGAGAAGTAATTACCTATTATCGTTTAATTACTAAAAACAGTGTTTAAGTTAAAGCTAAGCTTTTGTATCAAATTTCCAAGAAGTTGGGAGGTAGATCAATGTGAAAATACATGCAAAATAGAATTAATTAATACGACAGGAAAGAGAACCTGAAATTTTTCTGTAAAGTATTGTTTGTTCAAAATATGATCTCTCAAAATGTTCAAGCTTCAGTTGCAGTATCCCACACACATTACACACAGATGCACACCCACACACCAAGATATAGGCCCTTCTTTAAAGGGCATTAATTACTATGGCAACTACTGTCACTGCCATAGCCAGCTCCATTTATTTCATCACTACTTGTATACCACTAGAAACACCAGAACCCCATGACATTTGCCAATACAGCTCACAATCCAATTTTATCCTACCTTATCCAATAATTATTTTCAATATAACATATTTTCAAAATAAAGTAACATGCATTTTAAATAAACAAGAAAGATTTGTATCATACAAATATAGTGAAGATTTGTGCTCAAACTTCTAAGTAATTCACAGTAATTTTAGAAGGCTGAAATAGATAAACTCTAAAAATATATTATTACATGCCTTGCTGTCCCTCTATATCCAACACTGTCCAAAAATTTCAGTGTGGCACATACTCAGAAACAGACCCCTAAAAAAACCAAAAAAACCCCAACACTATTTTTTTTTGGTCATATACATGTCTTCCAAAACACTGACAAACTTTTTGAAAGCACAGAAGAGAGATACTTGCCCTTTTCCTTTCAACAGCCTGCCTGAGCAGTTAGAGAGCCTCAAAATTTATACTAAAACACACTCACTCTTTCAAAGAAAGCACATGCGCAGTATGGTCATATTCACATCAAAGAGATGCTCTGGAAGTCTGAGAAATTTTAGCAGCTAAAGACACAGCTATTTCTATCCACATCTTTAGACAGTCTGCTAATCTGCATGAAGTTTTAGAGCTCTCCCTTGGGAAAATAAAATTTATACAGCAGATAAAAGCCATCCTCTTAACTGATTTCCAAGACCTAGCTCCAAATAGTGAATATTGGAGCATTTCACATAAGATGTCCCCAGAATTTTGTGAGGCAGGATAATTCTACTGGTTGTTTTTTTCTCAGTAACAGTTGAGCTATTCTGAGTAAGCATCTTCCTAGACAAATATTCAATCCAAGGAAGACATCCTGCACAGAAAGGCCTGAAAGGATGTTTCTGTCTGAACAGCATGAGTTGTATGCACTTAAGAGTGCTAATTTTTAATGGAGAGCAGATATTAACACACAGAACAACAAGCTCTTTTTCAGTGACATTTACTTTGGAGCTATAAGAGGCACATAAGAATTTCTTTTTCCATTAGTTTGTCTGCTTTCTTTTAATGTCTGGATTAAAATACAAGTTATTGCAGTTTAACTTACCGAACATTTTCTGGTCTCAATTTATCCAGTACCATCTCTATTAAATCAGGCCTGAACTCTTCAAGTAAATACTCAGCAGCCAATACTTCTTCTATAGGATAATACTAAAAAACAAAGCCCAGAAACATGTAGGTGAATTACACAAAAACTAAGCAACTACTATTTTGTAAAGGAAGCAAGAGTGTATACTTCTGTCCACTAAATCTGTATTACTTTGGTAATTTCTAATTGGAAGTGCATAGAAGTTTTAAAGTCTTTTACTTAAAACTAAACAACATGGAGTAGTACTCTAACTGTGTAATAATTTTCTCTATATTAGATACTTATACATACTGCATATCACCATTCTTTTCTCATTAAATATTTAAGTCTCAATATAAAAAGCCATCCACCTTTAAATAGTTTTGAAGTAACTAAAGTAAAAGCAACATGGTAAATGCTGACCCCTGGAGGATATTTTTAAAGATAAAAGAACCCCAAGTACTCACTGCAGTGCATTTGGGAAAAATAAAATCTAACAAAGAAAAAAACCAAACAAAACACAAAAAGCACCCCAGGACATTTTTTAGGATTTCCTAAGAATTCAATTGTTTTTAACGGTAATTTAAAGTATATTTCAATTATCTAAAAGAAAAACACAAATTTACACAAATTCTAACATATTTTTTATTTAAAATCAAACTGAAAATCTCTTAAGGTACATTGCAATTCAAGAAAAAAAAACAAAAAACACAGTTAAAATTCCTCTGCAAATTACTAGTATGATTGATGGGAAAGTTCTGTTCATAAACATCTGTTTGCCAAGAGAAAAATACCAGCTGACCTAAGCACTAAGTACTTGCAGTCTGCCAGACAGGTGCATTTTTTTTTAACCAGAATTACTGTAAAAGGGCTTTCTAAATTATATCCATTATACATGTAACTATAGTGGAATGACTTCCAGAACGCAGAGTAAGTCACACAATGGTTTTTGGAAAAGAGAAGGGGCTGTGGGGGGAAGGCACAGCAGCTGAAGACCAAGGACAATTAACAAATTCTGTGTTACAAACCATTCAAATGAGAATTCTAAAGATCCACCATTTGAAAGGTCTTGTCCAAAAGATTCATCACACACCAAAGAACGCTCATTTAACTACATTCTCCATAAACAGCTAAACAGACTAGGCAATTTGAAGGTGAGATTTTAAATTATCTATTCACTTCTAATCTGAAATTACCATGGCAATACAGATTTAGTGAACAAAAATCTACCCTTCATTTCCTTTACAAACAGGCCACAGTCTACCCATCAAGTGGAACTGAACAGAAAATTAATTTGGTTACTTTGTTAATTTTGTATTGCTTGAGCAGGAGGGTTGAAAAAGATGACCTCCAAGGTCCAGTCCAACCTCAACCATTCTGTGATCCTGTGATGACTTTTCAGCAAGGTCACAGCATAATGCAACTAAAACAAAACAGACTAAAACAATATACATATAACAATCAGAATTGTTGTTTGGTGTTATGTTCTTACGAATACTAGTTGTTTCTTGTAAGTTGGAGAAAGACCTGTGGATCCGTGAGAATGAGTAAGTGTAATGTCGTAAATTACGTATTTACCAAAAGGATAATCTACTCACAGCTATTTTAGACTTTATACTTTAAATGTGTAGGAGCATTAGGAGGAATTCCAGCAAAGAAAAAAAAAAAAAAAGGCTCTGTGCACAATTAGAGTTGTGCACAATGGAGAATGACTGCAATGTATAAGAATTGCGTGAATTTCACTAGATAAAAAAAAAAGCCGACTCTTCCTTTAGAGCAAAATAAGGGAACTGAATTTTACAAATATAAAGGTCAAGCATAAGCTACATAACGATTCTTTCACTACCCATACATAATCACATTAGTCGGTCAAACATTTCTAATTTACTGTCTTGATACAAACAGTTCTCCTTACTGCAATATTTAAACATGGTTAACTGTGGAAGCATTTAGAAACACAGGGCTTGTATTTATGACAAAATAATATTTCTTTAGTATTTCCCTAGAAAACATATAGCTATCAGGTAGACACAGAATAACAAGGTACATATGTCTTAAGAAACAGTGGAACAGATCAAACAGCAACTCCAGTTACCGTAAAATCAATTCTACAAAGTATACAATGGTACAGAGTGAGAAATTTTGGTTTACTGACTGCCAAAACTAAGCTCTGTGTAGCATATTAGCTTCCTAAGCTCAAGAAGTGCAAAGAACCTTTGCAAATACCTGTTACAAACAAACATACTGTTAAATTATTACTATCAGAAAACCACAGAATCACCAAGGCTGGCAAAGACCTTTAAGATCATCAAGTCCAGCCTATGACCACATATATATACCACATCAGCTAGACCATGGCATTAAGTGCCACAGCCAGCCTTTCCTGGAATACATCCAGGAACAGTGCCTCCACCACTTCCCTGGGAAGTCTATTCCAATGTCTACTATATTGCAAACCAAAAAACAAACAACAGAGAATCCCACACTTACATGCAACATTCCTCCAAGCTTTGATGTGTAACCTCGTGGTCGTTCTTTATCTTTAAATCTGAATGCCACAGCATTTAGATCCTAAGAAACAATGTATGAGGAGTTGAAAAACATAATATTAAATACTAGTTTAAGGATAATTATTGGCTACTTAATTAATACCTTTTAATAACATAAGAAAAGGAAGGAGTTTTGTCATATCCATTTTGTTATATTTAGGTACCTAACACAAAAATTTTCAGTAATACTCAGGATGCACAGAACTCACAAGCGATTCTGGATAGCCCCACAATGTGAGGTGTTGCACAAATCTTTTGAGTCCTGTTCATATTACAAGATCCGTCTCCTATCTCATATATTTCAATTTCCTGATAAATTGAAGATACAGCAACTTTGTTACAACTGATACATAGAGTTTAAGTGCAATGTTTGCTGTATGTTAAACTGAGGCCTTTCCCTCTTCCTTTTTTGTTCCTTTTGTTCAGTCAGCCAAAAATGTAAGTTTAAAGACAGACACAGTATGTTTCTTTATGCTGTTTTAGCCACGGAGATATAACACATTCTTGGAACACAATGGCAAGTGTGTATTGAAGAGATCTAAGACTACAAAGCCAACAAAAGGCACAGTCCATCCTTCTGTGAAACCATGCAGAGAGTCTGGTTAATTTAACAGTTCAGCTGAAAGTAAACTCAAAAGAAGATTATTTTCAAATTACTTTGTCAGCTCTTTTGACTCACCTCACATCATCAGGAGTACTGGGACTGATAGAACAGGAGCAAGGGAAAGACATAGGGATGAGACAGGAGGATGGAACTACCCTTTCAAATGTTGTATTCACTTATAATGACAGCAAAAGAATCCCATTGGGACTTTCAACACAGTGTAAAGAAACTTCTTTTACAGGTATGCAGTGTCAAAATGCAAGTAACAAAGTTAACACACCTACAGAATTTCTGCTCTTAGAAAGAGGCTCAACAGTAAAGCTAAGATGGAATAAGAAATCTTTACCCTAGTATTTGTAATGAACCAAGGAGACTATTTATGTAAATAAAAATGGGTTTATTTCACACTATCACTGAGAAGTGCAGGACTGTTAAATTCTAACAGGACACTTGACATTTTTGTTCTGTGCACACAGAACCACACAGATGTATAAAAAGCACAAATAGTTCAGGAAAGACTGAAGTGTACAGCCAAAAAGTTTTAGTTCACCTCTCAAGAAGGTGAGGGAACAGCAGATTAAATGTCCAACTGCCTTTTCAATCTCAACAACACAATTTGATACAAGAATGAAGAGAAGGGTAGAATAACAGTCATTCCAATTTCTAATTCAGTATTACCCCTCACAGCAAATGCTCCCCATCTCCTCCACCTTCATTGAAGGATATGGAAGGTTATGTGAAATCCTTGTGGACAAGTTAAGCTACTTCTTCCTCCACCATTATGTCAGCTCATAGCTCTATAAGAGCATTATGTATCTACATTAAGACAATATATTCTGAATGTACTTGTCATTTGTATCCCATTACACCTTTCAAATTAATAAGCTTAACTATTTTGCTATTATTAAAGGCTATTTCCACAGCTAAGGAATTGGTTTCTACTTACAATAAAAAAATTTGTAGAAATACAAGCACTGCATATCTCAAGTACCCATCACTGTACCTTGCACTCTTGGAAAACCCATTCTTGAGGTCCTTCTGTACGTAGTTTTTGAATATACTGAAACATGTGCAAAATAATATCTTCAACATGCACTGGAAAGAAAAAAATACTTGCTTAATAATCCATTCAGCTCTGCACAAAGAAAAAATTCTGATTGACACAAATATGTATAGTTTTATTTTTAATTACGCCTTAAAAATAACGATCTTCAAGTACATATGCAATCCTACTGGCAAAGTTGAAAGTGTTTTTATAAGACATGAATTTAAGATAAATATTTAGGTCCCCAGCTAATTCTAAGAACTGCATTGAATATGTCTTAGATTAAGATACTGATTTACAATTTAACTCGGGTCTAAATAGTATGAAGTAGTAGCACAAAGTATTAACAGTTTTTCTTCTAAATAAATTTACTTACAGTTATTTAATTAAGTACTTTACTATAACCACAAAAAAGTCAACTTCTTATGTTAGATAAAGTGTGTTAAGCATACTGAGAGGATCTAAACACAGAAAAAAAAAACTAGTTAATGAAAATAAATTTGCTTTCAGGCTATAAACATCATTAGATTATTTGGACACAAACACAAACCCATCAGACCAAGAATAGCATGGAATGCAGATACAGTGCTTCACTTACAAAGTCCTTCCTCTGTCAAGTCCACATTGATGATGAAAAACATGAAACCTCTGGCACCTTCCTTCTGTCCTCCCACAAGAGTATTTACCCAACCTATGAAATCACATAGAAAATATACCACATAAGCAAATCTGTAAAAATTTATGCTACTTTTGTATGCCTCAGCAGCATAATTATTTTTTTTTCAGATTTTGACTACTTCACATGTTCTCTTTCTCTTCCTTAACACCTACAGTGACAGTGCAAGTCAACATAAAGGAAGTCAGAACTATCTGATTTTGTGCTACGAATGATATAATAAACTCAAGATAATTCAACCTGGGTAATTTATTTCTGTTTGGAACATACTAATATGAAGAATATGAAAGATAGCCTCTTGTAGGCTTCCAGACATTATGGGACCTGACAACAGTCTTTAAGCCAGTAACAGAACAGAGATACGATCATTATGTCAAAGTTCATGTAACTCTCTAAACAGGGGCAGATGAGGGGAGAGCAAGAAAAAGCAGCTTCAGCAGTCAGAGTGACCATTATTTATTTTTATTAATCACAGAAAAAACATTTGCAAAATTAATTTCAACTCAAATTACTCAAACAGCTGGGAACTTTAAATTTAGCATACAGAGGCAATTTTAAGTGAAACATAACTGAGCTTTAAAAAACTGTGTAATACATTTCTTTTTAATTCTTTACCTTCAAAAGACTTACCTTTGGCTTTAAGCTCTGATAAAAGACTCCCTGGGCCCTCGTGCCCAATCAGATGACCAAGGTAATGGCCAGGGTTTGATTTATAGTACTTTTGAAGGTCTGGTATAGGAAATGTGACATAAAGATTTCTAATGTCCTTAATAGGTACCACTTTGTAAAGTTGCTATGGGGGGAAAATAAATAAGGAGATCAGTAAACAAAAGGAACCTCTATATTATTCTTCTCAGGAGCACACAATCATGCTTCCTTCACATACACACATTTTATTACAAACATATAAACAAATTCTAGAAAATAAAGGCACATAAAACTTAGGGCACCACTTTACCCATTCATTATTCAAACAGAGAATTCATTACCTCTCAGTTGCTTATACCTGCAACCAAATGTGCACCCTTTACTGTAAACTATAAAAAAGCACTCATCATGAAAAAGGTGGGTGAAAAAATAAAAAAAATATGGAACTTAGCAGGGATATTAATACAAATGTAGTAAAGTGCACAATTAATTACTGAAACATAAAAAATACCATTTAAAGTACACACTTCTCATGGAAGATACATCTCTGTACATACCCTGAGATGTTCTTCTTGGAAAGGATGTTCAGGAAACTCTGGTATAGGGACATTTTTATTCTCTACTTCTGAAAACAACTTTACAATTAAGCAAGTCAGCTCATCCAAGGATTCTAGAATAAAGAAACATTAGAAAAAGCATAATCATTATCTGAAGATTCTAGCAAATTTGCTTTTGTATTATTGAAGAAGGATTATAAAGAAAAGTAGTTTTAATTGTATGATGATTATTAATTTCAGAAATAAAAATCTATATTAATACTTCAGTTTTAAATATAACATGCCATAAGCACCAAGCTTATTAAAAGAAAGGCTTCAATCATGATTAAAATAAATCCTGTAACCAGAGAGATGAACTCCCAATATCAAAAAATACAGGCTATCTTAATCAGTATTACTGTGTTTACCTGCAGAAAGTTTCCACTGCTACAAGGAGAATAAGTAAAGCATTTGCACACATTACATACATTAAGTCCTGGTAGTATCACCTACATACCTACTACTAACTCATTTGATAACCCACCTTTAAAAACCAGAATCTTATACATTTTACTGTTCAGTTTGCAGAAGTAAAAAAAAAACAAAACACAACAAAACACAAAAAAACCCCAAACAAACAAAAACTTGCACCATTTTCTAATCGACATGTGATGCTATGCAGGAGAGATATAATATATTGAACTGAATTAGCCAGCCTGCAACTGATTTGGTAGTGAATATAAGCACTTAGGTTCGGTTAAGAAGTATAATCCGCACCATATTTGCTCACCTTAAAAATCTACAGGTTTTCCTTTATATGCTATGATTGATATTAAACAGGTACATTTTGTTAATTGGCTTCATACTCAGCATGCTGTCAACAAATGTAAGGGAAGATATCACTTTGCTAATTAATTTTATTCTATTCATCCAAGCATTATTGCAAAACACCATAAAAATACCAATCTGCCAGTATATTTTCAAAAAAAGTAAAGTTTTCAATGCTCTGGTATTTGGCAATGGACTTTTGGCAAACTTGCAGAAATATCATCTTGACTGTGGGAGACTTTAAGCAGTTGGAACTTCTGCTAAGTTAATTCAGAAGTAAACCGATGTAAAGTCTCAAATATGAAAAGAGTATCAAATGCTGTTCCAGCATCTGAGACCAGACAGGTTTCAGTCTTCATAAGACATATACACAGTGACAGCAACTGGTGACTTGATAAGAGATTCAAAATGTTCAGCTTATTTTTTCTACTGTAAGCTCATAAACACATAAATTTATACATTTCAAGTTGCCTTCAAGACTTTACTAAACATAAGATCATGTTTTCTCAGTCTGTGCAAGTTTTACTTTTTTTCCCTTTTGTACATTTTCGGATAGTTGCATACACTTCATTTTCTTCAGACATAAATACATTAAGCCTTACTCAACAGAATAAAACTCACCTCTTCCTAGGACACAAATAGCCATTAAATTTGATGAATAATACGTAGAATGAAACTTCAATAGCTCTTGTCGTACATCTATTCCTTCTTTGGTTGGTCTAGTTTCCAAAGTGAGTTTGTTCCCTGTAATATAGAAATTACCAATACTTGATACTTATGAATATAAAAAGAAAAAAAGAAAAATATAGATTAATAAATCTGCTTTCCTCCAGATTTACATTCCTGCATATTCCTGAAGAACTAAAGATGTTTTAGTCTTCCAAATTAATCTTTTTAATTTGAATGAGTAATTTCAAATACAATGCAAGCAAACCCAGGCTCCAATTCAGACAAAGGAAAAGGTTTTTCCTTGGCACATTAAGCGTAGGTCTTACTCCCATACTCATACTCCTGTCATAGGAATCCCTGTGTGAAACTATTTGTGGCACTGTGTGCCACAAATCAGAACCTTATACATTAAATTAAATAAATAATTGCTGATTTGCAGACATGATTCATAAAGTGTGACTCTTCAGCCTCTGCTTCACAAACAGCTGATCTGCTGCTGCAGTAGAGGAACAGGACTAGAGAGGAAGAGAACCACAACTCTCCCTGTTGTAAGGGAGAATTGTATTTCTCCCATAGGCAGAAGACACTAAACTTTCTCCATTAAGTTATCCTTCTGTTAATTACTGCAATCTTTCCATCAAAATCAAACTTTCAATAATTTACTCTAAGGACATACTCCACACTTACAGTCAAAGCAGAACTCCCGTTTCATAAAGGTGAGAACTTGAAAGAACTGAAAAATTAAGAGTCTAAGAAAAGTATACTGGATTTTAATCAACTCCACTTCCTATTATTACAAGGACACACAAAATGGTCAACAGAATCTACAGACTAGAACTGCAAACTAAAACTCTGTCTCTTAACTTTGAGATCAGTAACTCCCCTAAGCCACAACCAGATCAGGTACTCCAGAAGAAGGCAAAGCACAAGGAGGAAGAATAAGGCAAGACAACATAGCAGAAAAGTTCACTTTTGTGTTTATACGAAAAACAAGAGGCTGTTCAGGCTTCCAGAAGCAATATATTGCTTTAACTTTCAAAGTTCACGTCAGTAAAAGCAACGATTCTTAACGACAACTAAAAAGGTTAGCTAGGGTATTATGTTTAAAATATTTTGTCTATATTCCTCACCACCTGCAGACAAATGAAGCAAAGTTGTTTTAGATACCCTGCTATGTGTTTATTCCCACAGAATGGATACGTAAGTTAAAATAAAATAAAGCTGAGGCTTTATCTCAAGTAACTGTGCCATTGCAGTATTGGAGTACATTAAGAGGCAACAATCAAGACACCTTTTAGAAGTATGAAAATGGACACCAGACAATGCAGAAGTGACTGGGAAAGTACTTGACACTGTTGAGGGTACTGATGAAGAAGAATTAACATCACAGGCGTTACTTCAGGCAGATGAAGGGTATCTGGGGACAAATGCTCAGCCTAACAAGAAGACTAGATCATTAAGGCATATTTGTACTCTGGACAAAGAGCAATAGAAGGTTTGCTGGCAAAACAGGCTGCACACCAATGAGTGATCTGAAGCATCAAATGGAGTTGTTCCTGTACTCTGCTAGGCTAACAACATCCCAGCTGGTCAAAAGAAGATAATAAGAAGGATGCCAACTGCAGTTGTAATGAAAACCACATCACAGTTGTCATCCCTTTGGGTAAATAAAAAAAAAAAAATCAAAGCTGGGGTCTACTTCTGCAAAGTCATAGTTACAGGAAGGCTGTGTGCTCTAATTTAATTTCAGAATCAAAGCCTAATCTAGGAAGCAGTATGATTACTGCTATTGAATGTAAGCACATTTGGGGTATTCTCCCCATGGAAACATTTTATTTGTGTCAGCTATAAAGCCTTCTTAAATTGTAGAAAACTATTTCTGCAACTTCAGCTTGTGTTTTTTGAGTGCTCTATAAAAATTAAGTAATCCGTTCAGTAGCAGAGATTACAGAATGTACTTTGGATACCTGCCTGCCTATCAGTATGTAGTTCCCAAGACCTTATTTTCAAATTAACCAGTTTGGAGAATGTAGTTATAGTTCTCTGTTTCAGACAGCCTCTCTTTACTGGAGAACAGAGCAATACCATGCTCTTGTAGCAGCTGGCTACCAGCCCCTCAACTATACCCTCCATCAACAGGTGCAAAAATACTCTTATTTGAGAGGAAGAAACCAGTCCTTAAAGCCTATTATCTGCCTTCCCATCATCCTACTTTGCCCAATATTTGCATCAACAGCAAACTGACCCAGCCACTAAACAGTCATGCTCAAGGATTAAACAGTGCAGTGTATGAATTAATAGCCCTCTTACTTAGATAGTTTCATAAATTAATTCATGTAGAAAGTAACTTCTATGGAAAAAAAAAAAGCAACAGACATTTAAACTTCAGCCAAAGAAAGAATTATTTGTGATTTTGACCATAGCTATGGTATATTACTGTAATGCATTTTAAACTGAGGTTCTGGGGTGTTTATTTTAAAATATTGCTAAGCATTCTGTGAATAAAGCCTAAATAAACCCTATAGCCATAAGACTGGCATTTGCCAAAGACTGATTTTTCTACCCATCTACTACTGTTGTGTTTCATTATCAAGATTTTGGTTTTATATTCTTACTCAGTAATGTCAATGTTACTTTGCTGATCTTTCTGATTTGACCTAGTCACTGCCATCTAGTACTAATGCAATACTAGTCAGCAAAAAGAACATGTGGCTAACAACATTTTAAGTACAGTTCATTCACTTTGTTATGCACAAAGACTTAACAGTACCAAAATAAGACAAATTCAGTAACTGGAAAACAGCATTCACTGCATTAATTATCAGAATCATAAAGGATTCTTCATCATGGTACTGTAAGTCTTGGATCACTTGTTTCCTATGTTTTTGTCTAGTTCTGTTTGGTCTACGATGTGGAAAATGTGATAAAGCATCATTAATAAACATGTATGGAGAGGAAAAATAGGGAATTGTCTCAGTCTGTCTTTAATGATCTTATATAAACAATAATACTATGTATGTTACTCAGAACTCCAATGGATGAGTAATTATATTCTGACAAACCTGTTCCAAATTTACTGAAGGGATGATTAGGGTTTCCTGTAGCTTTTTCCAATTGAAACAACCTCCAAGCATCATTCATCAGATTCTTCTCATGCTCAGAATCAACAGCATTCACTTCCCTGTCTTTGCAGCTTTCATCAAACAAAGGGCACAAGAAAAACTGGGCAAATCTAAACAGAAAAATTGTAATTCAAGTCAAGAGTACCGTACATAAATGGTAACAGAAAATTATGAAGGTTGGTACTTTCTGAGAACAGCTCATTGTGTTATTTTTTTAATCCACAACGTATAAATTCTGTAACAGTTTTGACATTGATTCACTATCTTTATTTCTCAATTTCTTTACCTAGTTACACAGAAAACAACATAGTTACCATATAAGGTACTAAAAGGATCAAGGACCTTGCATTTTAATTTATTCACTAACATTTTCTACTGTTTTGAAGTTTAGCTGCAAGAGGCTCTTAATTTTGCAGATTAAACCAGCCTTGTCAGACATCCAGGGAAAATCCAAAGGGAAAATCCACTCTTTACCTCACTGACAACACACCTTTGAATTTCTGCCTCATCCCACTAAAGGCAGAGATTTCAGTGAGTTCCCGTTACTAAAGGCATCCTAATACATTTCTAGGCTTCATCCTTCTTTTGCTATCAATGAAATAAGGACCTTGTGGGAAGCAGAGTATTTGATTACACAGAATATCTGCACAATGCATAAATTCATGATCATTCTGTGTCACTCATTTCCAGAAACATTCAGTGTAAACACCACCTCTGAAATTCAAAAATTCTGCCTCAGTGAAGAACTCTGCAAGCTGAACAAACAGAGCAAAACTTATGAACCAAAAAAATATCTGGTGTCAGTTTTAACACAAAAGCTTTCAACCCTTTTGTTAACAGTATAATGATAAAGCTATCAAAAAACTTTTATGTTATTTCAATTAGCACTTATATAACAAAAAAAAGAAAAAAGTGTTTACCTGTCTAGTGCACCTTCTAGATGTTCATGTGACACATCAAAGTAATAGTTGGTATGTTCTCCACTTGTGAAAGCATTAGAACTCCCGGCATGCTCACTAAGAAACTGGCTATACTCATTCTCTTTTGGATATTTCTTGGTTCCCAGGAACAGCATATGTTCACAAAAATGACTAAGCCCAGCAATGTTGGGAGGGTCAGACAAGGAACCTGCAGGAGGAAAAATGTCATGTAGTCATTCACAAAAAATACTAATAAAATGTTAAGTCTTTTAAAGTGCTTTATATTTCAGTATGTTGCCTCAGATAATTACATAAATTCTGTAGATGTTAGCAGACACGTGCAGCTATAGTCAATTAAACTCAATCTTAACAAAAAAAAATAATTGAATGAGTAACTGAACCAATTAGTGTCTCAAATTGCCTCTTCATATCAGCCCACATTGTCTTATAAAGACAGTTTTTCAATTGAAGTCCATGACTCATGATCTGTAAAACCTGACAGATCACAATGTTCTGACTTACATACCTTGACTTTAATAACTGCACTGTATTAAAAGGCAGCAATTGCCAGCCACAATTAAGGAGGTATTCATCCTGTGGTTTATAGGACGAGTGATAACCTGTAATTGCCTGAATACAAGCAACTATTGATGACCAGCTAACAGATTAAAAAACAATAACATGCAAGAATGGAGGCTAGAAACGTGGAAGTTTGAGTCTTGAAGTCCTGCTCTGGGGTGTGCAGCAATGTACAGTGTGGGAGAGTAGAAATAAAGGCAATAGATACAGCTCCTCCAGGACATGTGTAGGCACTGGACACTGCAGTTGGCTGTTACTGTCATAGTACATAAGGAAACCACATTTGGGATCCTCTGAACTAGATAACTATGTGTGACACCCATTTCCATAATAACAAATGCCAGAAGTTTTCAAAGTTACTCTACTACTTCTGTCCTAACATAAACAGTTAAGAGCTCCCAACTACAAACATGCAAAAGGATGCTTAGGTAATGAGTAAAGATACTTAGGTAATGTGTGTGTACACCACACCTTCCAAGCAGCTGAGAAACTACACTTGAGAAACTAAGCTTGAGAAATATCTCAAACATTAAAGAAAGCTTCCATTATTCCAAAGAGTCAAAATGACTGCCTTCCCCTTCTATTTCCAATATCACTATTTGCACATGTAAGCATCACTGGGTTTAGGGAGAGCCTCTCCAACTCCTCCAGCACTACAGCATTTTCTCACCTCTACTCATCAACAACTTAACATGCAAAAAAAAGTCTGATATGACAGATGGAGCTGTCTAAAATAATTGTACTCACAGCCTTCCCTTTTCTGCTTACAAAAATCTTTCATAACATGAAACTTAATGGTTAAAAGATGTCTTTCTACTGACTGAGCTACACTTAAGTAAACACAGAGTAAAATAAGATAATCTAATTAGCACTAATAATTTTCAAGTTGATGTATCAAGAATTAGATAAACTCTACATTGCAATAGAAGGCTATGCTGCCCACTGGATATTACTCCCAACAGTTTATCTGGAATTAAGACACCAAAATTAAAGGATTTTTATATATGACACAATGAACACAACACGCATTAAATACCTATGTGCACATCAAGTGCTGCTGAAGACTTATCGGTGGTGGGGTCACTAATGAGAAGAGCTTTAATGCCATTTGCCAATTCTAGTCCACGATATTCTCGTTTATCCTCAGGTGATTTGATTATTTCATTTGTTATTCTCTTAATAGCTGGATTGTTCATTTTGTTGTTTGTCTCTTTCTGAAACCTGAAACAAAACAACAAATTTCACTTACTATTTTTACTTAAGCCCTGCTGATATTTTAATATGATGTTAGAGAACACCAGGCGATACTGACAGCAAGAAATTCAGTTCCGTGCAAAAGCCACAGAACTGGCCTAAGATTACAGCTCATACCTTGAGAAAGTTTGCTGTTAAAACACAACAACAACCAAATACCAAGCAACATGGTAAATCTGAGATAACATATTGTTTCAAGTTTCATAATAACAGTAATTTAAAAAATAACTTAGCAAATCAATACCTTATTAAATTATTATAAAAATTAAACTAAATTAAGCAGACATTGCTATCTCAAGTACACCTTCAGAAAATTATTTCATGTGTCTGAATTGATGGCTATATAATGAATGTTGTAGTTTTGCGATTGTCAGATAAACAAAATGTTACTGGAAACAACTGGATTTGTACACTCAAGCAAGAAAGGGTAAGACCATTTACATTATTGCCATAAAAATACAAACACACTGCATAATTGCCATGATAAAGAGCAACAGACTGTCTCACATACTTCAACTGTTAGCATAACAGACAGGCTAGGAGATGTGCTCTTTTAATGGCACAATTTTGAAATGCTAAAAAACTGAGTGTGATTCTGAAATTATAAATTCTGGTTATTCAATTTTTTTAAATACCAAGTTAAAAGGTGAGACATTCAGACTTGGATATTTGGGGAGGTAAAATGGACCAACCATGAGGTGCATTCCTGTATGTAAGACCCACTGTTTTACAGGAAGCATTTTAAAACGGGGCCTGTTGTAAGTGTGTAGTACCAACCAAACCAAATCTTCTCCTGTGGCAAAATGTTGCTTGCGGAACTAATTTCACTGACAAAGAAAACCAGATCCAAGACTAACTTGTCAAACCCGAGCCAAACATACACACACACAGAGGTGTGAGAAACTTTGTATGGTCCTGTCAGTATCACACAGATAACAAGGAGTTTCACAGTATTTACTTTTCCATTTTCAGATGGTGTGATTCAAGGAACTTGATCCAAGTTTTACAACTTTAGAACAGCTTTAAGAACATTTTAGGATGTGGATCATGAAAGACCGCACAGTTCTCAACATACTTGTTGCTTCAGATGTTCAGTCAAAACACCTCGACTAACTAGCTAACAAATCATCTGCATATTCAGTGTTACCTGATACATAACAGAAGACTTCAGAAAACAAAATCTGACTCTATAACTTATTTAGAGTTTAAAATTACAAATGAAAAAGGGAATCAGCTAATAAAATCTCCTTCCTAAAATACTAGATCATTCTCAAAATGAGAAGCAGTCTTGTGAGTTACTGCCCCTCTGGACTATTTCCTTCCCATTTATTCATGCAACTCCATGGTATAAAAACAACGGCCAACTTGAAGGCAGCAAATGCACAGTCATCACTGTTGTTGTTACATATTACAAGACTGATAAAAAGCTCATTATTAACAGCATGTTAAGGACAGAAATTTATAAAGATAATTCCTACAGCAGAACTGGTAAAAAACAGTATTTCACATACAGAAAAATAAGATTTTACTTGTGGCAGAGATAAAGACTGGATTTATGGTTGAGGAAGGAGATAGATTTGTAATTGAAGAAGGTATTGTAAAAAAAAAAAAAAAAAGGCAGTAGAGTAAGCATGAGATCTTTGAATACTTTTGAAAGTAGTAAAAAGACTACTTTGGAACTTTTTAATATACATAAATTATAACACATCCTTATACAAAAGAGAGCAAAATTCCAAACAGGAATTATAATCCAAATAAAAAACAGAAGAACTGAGTACCGAAAGCGTCACTGAATAGTCAGAAGCTGGACACCTCTAAGCAAGAGCCATAAACAGTATGAACTAACTTTTTAAAACATGCAGCTCAGTGCCTTCTAGAAGGAAACACTTCCACCAGCAAAACAAGGTCATCAAACTATGTACTACAAAAAAAAATAAAAATGCAGTCAAACATAGTCACTAAACAGTAGCTGAAATGTTGAATTTACACATCTACACTGTCATTTAAACCCGTTGGGCATCCACTAGTTTAACCCTGTAGTCTGGCTCATTCTGCTTGGAATATCTGTGAGCTTCCTTCTTCTGAAAACATGCAGATACTGCTCAAAAAAAGGATACTTCAAGTACAGCAACGTATGTGTTTCTCTGCTTCAACAGCACTGATATAACCTATGCTTATGATTTAAAAAATACATTATTGTTCAAAGTTCGGAGTCTTAAGTAGAAATACTCTACTAAACATAAGATACTGTGTAAATTGAAGAGAATAGATACTTTTCATAGATGAAAATCAGTAACTCTAAACTGTTCTCAGCTGTATTTCATTTGCACACAACTCTACCGGACTGACTAATGTAAGTACGTAAGAGAGCATGGAGGTCTCTAAAACTCCCGATTTTGCTTCTGCAGAGGAACACCTATGACTTGGCTGTCAGCTAAAATATTCCATCTCATTAAGATACTAGTTTCTTATAATAAGATGCCTATATAATAATTTCCTTGTCACCTAGTATCTCCTTGTTATTTCTACACCACATCATTACGTCACAGAACTTTACTGTTTGTTCAGATGACTCATCTTTCCAATGTGATTCATCAAATTACACAGCTTTTGTGAAATTTATGAGATTTCAACTGATGTCTTGTGAAATTGTTCATCTCCACCTCATTTTATTCTCATTCCCTACTTCTGTCTCCTTCATTCATAGTCTATCTTCATTCATAGTCTATCTTTTGGTAGTAAAATTTAAGTACAAGAAATACTTAAAATTTTCCAAAGTTCAAAATTAGTAATTACACCTCTGAACTAAGGACTTCAGCTGGATTTGCATTATCAACTCACAATTATTTCCCTGTAACCTAAATTGTGGTACCCAACAACTCATACAAAAGCAAAAGCACATCAACTATGCAATAATCCTGAAAGAACACAACCGGTATCTCTTCTGCTTAAGTACTATTCCTTCCAGTGTTACATTACTATAATACAATAGTGAGAAAATTTCACTCAAGATAAGAGTATTTATACAATTATTTTTTCTTAATAAGCAAACTGTAAGACATATTAAACACTCCTGCATATGATTGCTTTTCTGTGTAACTTTTAAGTTCTCTAAGTGAAACTGCTTTAAAACAATACCATGTTTCATTGTTTCACACAGGAATGCTAAAACACTCCAAACCACTTTTTGACAATAGGACTGCTTTTACCATTCTATATTTTTTGTAGTTTTTTGAGAAGTAGGTTAATTCCTAAAGTGTTCAGACACCATCCTGAAGTATATGTGATATATCTACTTGATATGTTGTCATTACAATCAGCATTTAAGGCTGATGGTCAGTAGAAAAGAAATTAATTGACAAACTAGATGCTATGTTAACTGCAGAGCTAAAATCCTAACAACATAATTAAAAGTAATACTGTCTCTCTGCTTTCAAAAAATTGAAGTTAAAGAGGAAGACCCAATAAAGCATAGACAGCAGGAACAAATACAAAGCATTATTGTGGCACAGACTCAAAAATTGCAGGTAGCAAAGTGACAGAGCCATAAAGGGAAAACAATAGAGACATTTGAACTGAGAGCACTGTGTCTATTAAATGACTAAGTAATATTAAATGTTCTTCCCCCTCATGAAAATTACTTCACTTGTACAATAAAAGTATCGGTTAAAACAGATAACTGAATTTTAAACTACAGCACACTCGAGTAAAAATACATTCTGTTCTTTGAGGCCCTGTTTTTGTAGATTTTCAGGCAGGTAGTCCCCTAGAACCAGCAAGGCTCTCTGGGGATGCCAGGTTCTATCTGCAAACTGAGTATTACAGAGTGGGATTAAGTGATAAACAACTCTGCCTATTTTAATCTTTTGAAGTTATTTTAGTAAACTTACTTTAATTAAAAATTAGTCAGCATAGTCAAATCTAAGTTCATTGTTTGAACAATTAAAGGACCGTATCTGAAAACCAATTAACAGAAACTCCTGAGGGTTGCTTCAACATAAGAATGTAACTAGCTTATAAAAATATGACCCCTAAAGCACAAACTGCAAAGCATTTTTCAAGATTTTTTTGCCATGACAGGCTACCCATTTAAGTCAAATACTGCTTCATAGGTCCGAGTCAGATTAATTGCTATAAACACTGATCAGCTGGACAAACAGTGACCAGCTCAGCAGATTTTTACACTTGCTTTCAATTTATATCAGTTGCCTTAAAATCTGGGGTTTGCTTGAAGCTTTTGTGCAACTGAACCCAAAATAGTTCTATGGACATACCTGCAGGTGCTACAACAACCTCACTTTAAGTTTACACCTATACATACTAGGATCTGAATAGCTCCTTGTTTTCTACTAATTTAATGTATTTTGGATACACTTGGTATGTTACGCTGACTACAACACAATTGTTACTCAAGTTCCGTCTTCGAATTATATAAGAACCACAGTAATGCTCAATCTCACATTTTGCGCCTGTTCCAAGTTCTGTATTTTATTTATATCAGTTTTGGTTTGTTGGGTTGTTTTTTTTTATTCCAAACTTAAGTTTCACCACTTAACTTCACCACTTACCAGGGCGAAGAACTGAAACGTCTATTGAGTTAAAATCTCTCTCTGCTCTGTCCTGCAAGGGAGCTACCATTAATTATGTGTTCTCTGTATTATTCACTAATCCATCTGGGTTTACAGTTCTAAGTAATGTACATGAAGATTTCTTCAGCTGCCAATGCCTGGAGTGAATGAAGTGCTGTATGCTTCGGCAGAAAGCCCAGCGCCACAGAACTACCAGTGTTTCCCCACCTCTCTTACAGGGATGACAGCACTGAATTGAGCACTCTGGAGGAGTCCATCAACTCCTTCAGTTGCAAACTCGTGGCTTTGCATCAATACAATAAATCTCCTTTCTTTCACAGGTATTCAACCCTCCACTTCATCTCTTGCACCCACCTCTCCTCATGATAGCAGAATTCC